CGTCATCAGCCGACTCGACGATCACGAGGCTGGTCTTCCGCGGAGAGCTCTCCTCCCGGTGCTCAGGGGGCTCTTCGGGTTCTTGTACGATGGGCGAGCCTCCCCGCTCGCTGGGCGTTGGGGTCTGGAGGTACGGCCTCTCTTCTTCCAGAGGGGTGCCCATCTCCTCTGGTGTCTGCCCGGGAGAGCTACGGATCGGTGCAGCCGGTTGAGATTCTGACACTTCTGTTCCTGGGGTTGTCACACTGGAATGCAAAAGCCAAAGCGTGCCTCAGAGGAACTAACCTTGCTCCTCCCGCTCCAGCAAGGGAAGGGAAGGGAAGATGGAGCTCATCTCCACAGGCCATGACAGGCAAAGCAAGTAGTACAAATTTGGCCAAATTTAAAGAAAAACATGGAGTAGAGAGTTCTAGCTCATGGATCTAGCATTGACCGAAAGCAATATAGTCTAACAATAAAAATTATCGTGGGGCTGGCATTGTGGCTCCGTGGGTTAAGCCACCACCTGTGTTGCCCACGTTCTGTATGAGTGCAGGTTATAGTCTTGGCTGCTCTGCTTCCCATCCAGTTCCCTGCTAATGTGGCCTGGGAAAGCCATGGAGATGGCCCGATTGTGTGGGTCCATGATACCCATGTGGAAGACCAGGATGGAGTTCCTGGCTCCCGGCTTCTGGCTTCAGCCTGGCCCAGCCCTGGCCATTGCAGCCACTTATACAGTGAACCAATGCATGGAAGATATTTCCCCCACCCCCACTCACCGTCACTCAGCCTTTCAAATAAATAAATAAACTTTTTAAAAAATGTCCTGGGGTCGACGCTGTGGCAAAGCTGGTAAAGCCGCCACCTGAAACACCAGCATTCCATATGGGTGCCAGTTCAAGTCCCAGCTGCTCCACTTCCAATCCAGCTCTCTGTTATGGCCTGGGAAAGCGGCAAAAGATGGCTCAAATCCTTGGGCCCCTGCATCTGCATGGGAGACTTGGAAGAAGTTCTCGGCCTGGTTTGGGATCACAGCAACTCTGGCTGTTGCAGCCATCTGAGGAGTGAACCATCAGATGGGACTCCTCTCTCTGTCTCTCTGCCTCTGCTTCGTTCTAACTCTGCCTTCCAAATAAATAAATAAATCTAAAAAAAAAGAATATCTTAAAATGTATTACAATTTCCTAACCTCTACAAAGTGTATTTGCTAATATTTTATATTTTCTTTGATCACTCAAGATTTTGTTGAGGACATAAGAAGTTATACATAACAAAGATTGATAGAGAATAGTGCTGTTAAAGCAATAATCTGTCTGGCAGAATTAAATGTCTTCATGTTAATATAGTTATTTTCATGTAAATAGTGAGAGATTCTGATTGTGCTCCTAAAAAAGCTCTTATTTAACAGAGGGGTGTATTGATCCTGAAACTTCCTCTACTGATATACTTTGGAGTTGCTCCAATGTAACCATGCACAATCTCAATTTTAAAATAAAAAGATTTTTTGTTTTGCTCCTTTCTTTGGGTTTAGTGTAATTCTTTCTCACTTCACTGATCTTAAATGCCCAAAGTGTCTCTGTGGGCATTTCTCCTTTTTCCTTTTCTCTTCTTTGTTTTCTACAGAGACAGAGTGAGAGAGAGAGAGAGAGAGAGAGAGAGAGAGAGAGAGAAAGACCTTTCATCCACTCGGTCACTCCACAAATACCTGCAGTAGTTGGTGCTGAGCAGGGCCAAAGTCAGGAGCCAGGATCCTTGTCCTGGTCTCCCAAGTGGGAGGCAATGACCCAACTATTTGAGCCATCATTTGTTGCCTTCAGGGTGATTATTATCAAAAAGCTGGATCAGAAGCAGAGGAACCAAGACATGAAGTGGCACTTTAATTGCTGTGCCAAAGGCCTGTGTCTCAATTCAATACTCTTTTATTCTGAATGGATAATTTGTACCGTATTTATATTTTTAATAATTACCTACCTCATAGTTTTGTTGATATAGAAGGGGACTTCAAAAAGTTCTTAAAAACTGGAATTAAAGATAACTGTATTTATCAGTGCAAAATAAGTTTGAAATCCATGTATAATTTTTTTTTTTTTTGACAGGCAGAGTGGACAGTGAGAGAGAGAGAGACAGAGAGAAAGGTCTTCCTTTTGCCGTTGGTTCACCCTCCAATGGTACGCAGAGGCGCATCACGCTGATCTGAAGCCAGGAGCCAGGTGCTTTTCCTGGTCTCCCATGGGGTGCAGGGCCCAAGCACTTGGGCCATCCTCCACTGCACTCCTGGGCCACAGCAGAGAGCTGGCCTGGAAGAGGGGCAACCGGGACAGAATCCGGAGCCCCGACCGGGATTAGAACCCTGTGTGCTGGAGCTGCTAGGTGGAGGATTAGCCTATTGAGCTGCGGCGCCAGCCATAACTTTTTCTTAATACAAATTTTAATGAACTCTTTGGAGACCCTTCATACATCAGGAGCAATTGATCCCTCTGAACATCTACAAGGTCCCTGGATCACTCCAGGTCACTGTTCATGTTCCGAATCAGCCATGGTACAATGGGCATTAGAGGGCAAATGAGGTGCATCTATCCCACAGGTAATAACCATATTGCCTATGTGAGATTTCACAGTTAAAACAAAGTTTTCACAGGCAACCTTTTGAAATTAGGGAAGTGCATAAGATTATATAGATGTAGACATGGAGGCTCAGTGCACTTAGGGGTCTTGTCCAAGGTCACAGAACTGGAAGTTGATTCAGCAGGTCTGTGATACTTTAGACCATCACAATTGCTTCTCTTAATATTTCACTTTTTAAAATGTATCTCTGTCAGTTGTTACTGTTGGGGTCTTTTAAATCATTTTAGAGTGATTTAAGTTTATAAACTCTGGACATTTTTGCCGTATGGGCCCGTTTCTTTGGAATTGTGTTTGACAGGCTTTCTCTTGAAACTCACAAGTATTCTTGCTGATATTCAAGAGATGGCTCTTCAGGCAGGTCTTGCGTTTTCCCTGAGAAATCCTGGTGAACTTGCTCCTTTGGAGTTTGGGGGGAGAGTGTTGTGACTGAGCCGCCTCCCTCCGTTTTGGGGATGTAATCCTGAAAAGTGGAATAGCCAACAGAAATGTCTTCCTCTGAGACGATGGGAGGGTGATCACGGGACTCGTCTTTAGAAACAGCTTGCTCCTCCTTCTGCTTGTGCTGTGTAATGCAGAGCTCCTCCTGAAGAACTGAGAACCCTGCAGGGAAAACAATCTAAATTAAGTATTTCATGGGTGCTTACCTTTATGGAATATGTATTTGTGTGCCATGTTTTAAAACAGGCCCGTCGCTTGCAAGGGTGGAGAGACACTGAGCTTGCTTTAAAGCTACTGACCAACTACGAAAGTCCAGGCCAGAAGAGCTGGGTGCCAGTGAATGAATGTGGGAGCAACCAAGTCAAGGTTAAGGAATTTAGGAAGGAAATGTGGGGGATGTAATGTCTTAAGGAGAGCAAATGATAAGTGAGTATCTACTGTGATAAGTCAAGGCACCAAATAAAGTGGTAAGAAGAGTGAGAGCTGGTAACGATAGATAGATAGATAGATAGATAGATAGATAGATAGATAGATATATAATAGGTTCTGAATATTTGCTCTATTTACTCTCTACTTTGCAAATAAAGCTGGTTAATCCTCACCATAACACTCTGAGGTTAATCCTTTTTGTTGGAGAGTCTGTGAGGCCAGGTTAAGGAATGTCAGGGGCTAAGAAGAACTATCAACATTTTTAGCAGAAAAGTGACTGACATTCATCAATGTATTCATCATTCAATAGATACATATTGAGCATTAATCATTTAGAGGCTGAATGTATTTCATTGAACAAGGTATAAAAAGCTCTTGTCCTCACTGAACTTGCATTTCTGAAAGTGTATATTTATCAAAAATAGTAAAAGAAAAGTTAACTTTTAAAGAAAAGAGTAAAGGCTTAGAGTAAATAGAACTAATATTTTCAATAGCTTTGTCAGGAAAGGCTCCCCTTAGGAGGTGAAACTTGGGCTGGCACCGTGGTGCACTAGGTTAATCCTCCACCTGTGGCACCAGCATCCCATATAAGCACCTGGTTCTAGAACCAGTTGCTCCTCTTCCAGTCCAGCTCCCTGCTGTGTTCCAGGAAGGAAGTGGAGGATGACCCAAGTCCTTGGGTCCCTGCACCTGCATGGGAGACCAGGAGGAAGCACCTGGCTCCTGGCTTCGGATCAGCGAAGCTCCAGCCATGCGGCCATTTGTGGGGTGAACCATCGGATGGAAGACCTTTCCCTCTGTCTCTCTCTCTCATTGTCTGTAACTCTACCTGTCAAATAAATAAATAAATAACCTTTTTTTTTTAAAAAAAAAAAAAGGAGGTGAAACTTGAACAGTGACCTGAATAAAGTGAGAGAAAAAGATTATCTGATGATCTGAGAGAATATTCCAGGGTAGAGGGAACAGAAAGTGCCAGTGCCCTGAAGCAGAAAAATGCTCAGGTCCTTAGGGAACAGCAAGGAGGTCGGGTGTCTGCAACTGGTGGGAAAGCAAAAGAGGTGGGAGCAGGGCACAAGCTCTGAGGCTCTTGCCAAGCACTAATACAGATCATCATTTAAATGTATGAGAAGCAGGAAGCCATAGAGAGACAGAGATGGAATAACCAGTAAATTAGGAAAGGAGGGAGGGAGGGAGGGAGGGAGGGAGGGGGAGGGAGAGGGAAAGGGAGAAGGAGAGGGAGAGGGAGAATGTTTTAAGATGAACAAATTGTTTATGTCAAATGTTATTAAGGGGTGAAATACACTGAATACTGAGAATTGCCCACTGGATTTGGCAATGTGGAAATGACCAGGTGAATTTTGCATGATTGACCAGATTGGAATATAGAGATAATTCTGGAGAGAAAGGGAAGAAAAGCAGACAGAAAACTCAGGTTATTCTTTTGAAGAAGTTCCCCATAAAGGATGGATGGGAGGCCTGTGTTGCAGCACAGAGGGCAAAGCCGTTGCCTGCAACACCAGCATCCCATATGGGTGCTGGTTCAAGTTGTGACTGCTCCACTTTGGATCCAGCTCCCTGTTGATGCACCTGGGAAAGCAGCAGAAGATGGCCCAAGTGCCTGAGCCCCTGCACCCATGTGCAAGACCTGGATGAAGCTCCTGGATCCTGGCTTCAGTCTTGCTGAGCTCTGGCTATTACAGCCATCTGGGGAGTGAACCAGCAGATGGGGGATCTCTTTCTCTCTCTTTTCTTGCTCTAACTCTGCCTTTCAAATACATCTTTTAAAAACAGAGGAGAAAGAAAGAGAGAAAGAGAGAGAGATATCAAGCATGACAGTGAGTAAGAATAGATCAGGGAAACTTTAATACTGAACAGCTGGTAAGGCAAATGGCTGGAGCTCCTAGTAGGACTAAAGAAATTGTTGGTGTACAATTAACAGAGGAAATAACTGTAATACTTCACATTAGAATTTAGAAGTAGTACAGTCACTGGAGATGACATAGTCTTGGTTGTGAGCACAGAAATGGGTGATTAAGGTACAATAAAAAAAGCAAATCCCAGAAATGCCATTGTGGAACTGAGGAAACAGAATTGGATGGATCACCCACGTTGTTGGTAAAATAACAAAGAATGAACAATGAAGTTAGGTCAGGGTGTAGGGGCAGAGACTTATAACATAGGCAGGAAAGTCTCAAAGTAGCAAGGAAAAGAATGCACAATCTCCAAAGGTCATGGTCTACCTTCTAAAATTAGAAAGGCACTAGGTCCAGTGCCTGAATTAAATGCACGTATGTGTGTGCATGTGCACCCATACACACACACACACACACACACACACACACTTGACCTTCACTATGATCCAGCGTAATGGTCTGCTCAATTTCTGCATAGCTATGACTGATGCGCTCCTGTAGAGGTTCTGTGCTGGTCTCCATGAGATGAACAATATCCATTCGATTGATCTTGGTGAGACATTCAATGAGGCTGGTATCTGAAATATTAGAGAAAAAGCATTTATGACATCCAAGAGGCACTCTTTTTAAAAAATCTCTTTCATTTATTTGCTTTGCTAAACTTTTGAGATTTATGCAGAAAACAACCAAAGCCTAATTAAGGGTCACTGTAAAGAAACAAGTAAGAGATATACACAAAAATGGTAGCATAGCATGGGCACATACCCTAAAGCTAGAGTTGCCAGGTAACACATGGACTCCTGATCAAATCTGCATTTCAGATAATCAGCAAATACACTTGCACTAGCTGTATGTATGAAATATAGCATGGGACACACTTATACTAAAAACAGTATTTTTTACTGAGATTCACACTTAACTGATTTTAAATATATAACTTGAGAGGCAGAGAAATAGAGGCAGCGATAGAGATAAAGGCAGACAAGAGACAAAAAGAAACCCTGCTCCCATACATTGGTTCATTCTCCGAATGCCTGCCACAGGTAGGGCTAGCTCAGGCTGAAGCCAGGTGTGGGAACTGAATTCTGGTGCTCCATGTAGGTGGCAGGGAACCAACTATTTGAGATTATCATCTGCTGCCTTCCATTATGGAGCCAGGACTCAAACCTATGCACTCTTGAATGGGACACAGGTGTCCCAAATGATGTCTTAAGTGCCTGTTCTATTCCTATTTGCTAACTCTCACAATCCTATTTAGAAGAATGTAAAAAGAAGGAATGACAAACATGGACTGTATGTAAGTAAACGAGGTTCCTAGGTGGATCTTTACAGAGACAGTGAAGGAGGTAGCACATTTAAACGAGCTGAGAAAAGAAAAGCTATGTTGTGTACTACTCCCCATTTTATCTGGTACATTCAGACTACCATATATAAATTACTATGTGGGTTATCTGACATTTTCCATCCACTGAAGTTAAAGGAAATACAAACTGGGGTTGATGCTGTGATACATTGGGATAAGCCACTGGCATCCCAAGTGGAACACCAGTTTGAGTCCCAGTTGCTCAGCTACTGATCCAGTTCCCCGATAATGTGCCTGGGAAGGCAGCAGAAGATGGCCTAAATACTTGGGACCCTGCCACACACATGGAAGACCTGGAGGGAGTTCTGGGCTCCTGTTTTCATCCTTAGCTAACCATAGTCTTGCAGATAGATGATATAGATATAGATATAGATATAGATATAGATATATATTTATATACTGCCTTCAAATAAAAGAAAGCAGGAACTAAACATAAGCATTATCAGCAAAATACCACTGTGGCAATCATTGGGCACAGAGCTTGAGATGCTGTTTGGGATGCTCGCATCCTTTATTAGTGTGCTTGGGATTCAGCCCACCTCTACTCCTCATCCAGCTTTCTAGTAACACACACCCTAGGAGGCAACAGAGATGGCTCAAGTACTTGGGTCCCTGCCACCATGTTTGTTGCAAACATTTGGTGATGAGCCAGCAAATAAAAGGTCTCTGTTACTCTCTCTGCTTTTGGTAAAGAACAAAAAAATAAAATAATGCACAATAAGGAATTGTGCCTACTATCAATATGCAGAAACCTTTAAGACTTGTATAATGTTCCTCCCAGCAGCCAGGGCTAGTTTCATTTTCCATTGGTTAACAGTGTTCATGGGCATACAGTGCAAGATTTTTTATGCAATGTGTATATTTTGGAAATGACAATCACTTGTTCTTATTTGCTTATAGTAGTACTTAAGATTGATGGCATTTGTTATTTTGTAGCTTTGCCAAATTTATAAGAATGGGATTGTTAGGCAAGGCATTTCCACTGGTAGCATAATACCTTTTGCACATGGTACTGTACCCACCTGTAGCATGTTTCCCATCCCTTTCTAGCCAGTACTTCAATAGTGCATGACTCTGGTCTTGAAGGGAGTTTGGGTTCTCAATTCGAATTTGATGAATTTGTTCTTCAGTGAAATCCAACTCTCTTGCTAATTCTAGAAGAGAAAACACAACTTTGTAAACACATGAACTTCAGGGTTTGAGTCTCTACCCCTTGCTTTTCTTTTGTATTAATGATGGGTTGTTGCACAGCTGTGAGTATTTGGGTTCTGTTCATTTATTTTCTGCATAGTAGAAGTGACTCATGCATGCCTTTGTTCTTCTGCACAAATTGTGAATCGAATCTTTCCTTTAATGCTGAGTATAGAATTGATCGATGCCATAGTAGAAATAGTGTGAGGTGGTAATAACACTCATAATTCAGGCACATTTGATTCCAATATGTAGATAAGACTAATAACACTTGCTTATACTCTTAAGATGATGGAAAACAAATGAGTGAAATAGGAGCAATGGGCTATTTCTCACTTTTAATAATCATAGATGATGTTTTAAGCATGTTTCTGGACACCTGGATAAATACTGGTTGTGGCTATATTATGGTGGATGGATAAACTCCTTTATTTGATTTTATGTCAATGACTAAAAAGTCTGGGAAGTATTAATGAAGCTAAGAAGCCAGAATACTTTTTTCTTTAAATTCTACCATTGACATTCCATAAAGATGTTATGAGGTGTGTGTGTGTGTGTGTGTGTGTGTATGTAAAAGAGATGAATTTGTGATCTCTTTGAAGGGCAATTTGACAATATATTTTGAAATTTAAAAATATATATCTCGACCCAACAATGCTACTTCTAAGAATATGTCCTATAAATACACTCAGAAAAATATGCCAATGCACAGGATACTATTTATTGCCATTGATGGGTAACAATCAAATTAATCAACAAAGGCCACTGTTAAAATTATGGGACCTTAATATCATGTAATTAAATAGCCACCTAGAAGAATGAAATACTTATGTCTATGCTGATATTTATAAAGAACAGTAAGTAAATTTTTGTTTACTTTTAAATAATTGGCATAAATAAGGGTATTGTATATTTTCTCTGATACATAATAAAGTGTTTTATCATTGCTATCTTTGAGATATAGTACTAGAAGACCAGACATAAATGACACAGACATATTTACTTTTCATTTTATATCAGTCTATATGGTTTCAGGGTTTGAATTTCACTAAATATATACATATTACATTTAACATATATTTATGGACACATATATATTTGAAGAAAATTATGACAGCTATTTATCTACTAAGCCAATTAAATAAATCTGATCAGTATTTTAAAATTACTTTAAATTATTAAAATTGAGAGAATGGATATTCCTTCTGTTTCTAGTCTTTTATCCTATATTATCTTAAAGAGAATTATAACAGGCTGGCACTGTGGCACAGCGGGTTAACACCCTGGACTGAAGCGCTGACATCCCATGTGGGCGATGGTTCAAGACCCGGCTGCTCCACTTCCAATCCAGCTCTCTGCTATGGCCTGGGAAAGCATAGAAGATGGCCCAAGTCCTTGGGCCCCTGGATCTGCATGGGAGACCCAGAAGAAGCTCCTGGCTCCTGGCTTCGGATTGGCACAGCTCCAGCTGATGCGGTCTCTCTCTCTCTCTCTGTGTTTGTGTGTATGTGTGTGTGTGTAACTCTGACTTTCAAATAAATCTTTTTTAAAAAAATAGTATTAGCTCATCTTCAGCAAATATTTAAGAAATTGAAAGGAGGAGAATATTAACTTCATACTGTTTGCTCAATGATGCAAATGATAAACCAGAGTTTAAAAAAATGCAGACTAATAACCTTGCTTTAATTTGCTAAGTCAGAGGTAGACATAAAGGTATCATTTTTCAAATCTACAAATCTTATTTCTAAACAATTTGGTTTTAAAATTCATTGGTCCTTGATAAATTCTTTTAACATATAATTGCTAAATTTAAACATTCACATTTCTCAAAAAAAATGTGAAGCATCTCACTCATCTGTTTCAATATTTGCCCAAAGCAAGTTTTAGTATGGCTTATTATGAAGATATATGAAGTAAGATATCTAAACAGGAACCCTGGTGAAATCTCCAATTATATTTGATGGCAATTATATTTACCAATGGTTTTGAAACACAATAGTCTCCCCTAAATCTAGATATCCACTGTTACCAAAGGTGAGTGGTGTGGGTGGGTGTGTGCGCAAAATCTTTAAATCTAAAATTTTTTATTCTTAATTTGGGAGGTGATAAAAGGCCTTCCCTGGGATACACTGCTAATTAATGTAGAACCTACATTTTCTAGTGCGCAGTTTATTGTTCATTCATTGTTCTCATGATCTTTCTCAAGCAAAGAAGAGGACTCTCTTTTTATAATTAATAACACTTGGCTGATGCATCAATGATATTTAAACCAAGCAGGTTTTGTTAAAATAAAAAAATAGGTCACCTCTGTCTTACCTGTCCAGCTGAAGCCAAGGTGATCAGCAATATAAGCTAGCCTTTCCTCGATCCGTTCCTGCTCGTCCTGTGGATCTAAAGAAGGTCAAAAACAGAATGGCCAAAGGTTTTCTATGACAGGAGAGGACCCACAGTACTGGTCATCCAAAGAAAGGAAGTCACTTGTCCAAATATTTGATAGCAGCACAAGTTAGTTTTTACATTTTAGGTCATATTGGGTTGTATGGTTCATCAGATTTCTAGGGTGGAATGGGAAAGAAATCTAATATGAATCAGGAAAACCATGTGCTTTCCATATCTCTTTAATCAAGACTAGTTCCTGGACAGAATAGTATGTTGTTGATTTCTATTAATCTTAGGACTTGACTTTCTTTGTAAGTTATCGCAGAGAATGCTGCCCACCAGAAGACAATCATGCTGATGAAACATCAGAGAAATACAAAATGGGATTCTGAAGTGGAGTAATTGTTTGCACCTCCTACTACTGCCTGTGGAGGTACAATCCCTTCCAATCACACAAGAGATCTTGACTATAAGCTGATCAGACCATCCTGAGCTTACCCAGTGTGGTCAGAAACATCACTGCGTGTGGTCTTGGTGATCTCAGAGGAAAGGGGACGCAGCATATACATTTGGATGTATACGTGTACTAGCATGCTTGCATATTTTTTGAGCAAAGTTTCTGCCTGTTTGCTACTAAGCAAACTCAGAATTGATCACCCTCCATAATTTTCCCAATTCATTTCTCACTGTCATTGATTGGTGGGCAGAATTTTGGACTGACATCAAGAATTTTGTATAACTTGAATTTAGTACAATAGTCTTCATTGTAGAGATATTGGAAGACCAGAAGAGACTCCTCCAAGTCATCTGTGGTTTCCTTTTTTATAATTCAAGAGACATCATTCCCTCACAGCCAACTAAAATAGTGCAAAGTTTGAGTTTTTGTTGTTTGGTGCATCTAATTGGAGTACAGTCTCCATTCATGGACCACATAAATGAAAAGCATTTTTTTTACCTTATGAATTTCTTTGCTTAAAGTGTTTACCAATGGTATCTGAAATCCAACCTTTCTGAATAAAAAACAGATCCACAACAATTGGAATTTCACGAAATGTGAATTCTTCTTGAGCAAATGGCTTCCTAATGATTACAAAATTGTAAGTACAAATTATTTTAAAGTATACAAGGGTAAGAAGAGCAACGTATCCTCATACTGTGAAACAAAAACTAATATATTATTGTACAAAAGCTAAAGTGTGTACTTTGAGGCTAAGCCTGAGACTTCAGGACAACAAAACTCAAAGCTTGCATGGCCTTACGTGCAGCAGCTAAAGAAAGGCAAGATCACGTTGCCTGGTTATTATGTTTATGTTTTCCATAAGCATTCTCATTATTCAATCTTGAGATTGTTTTCATAGACAAGAGTATACAGAGAAAGTACAAAACACAAAGGGCTTACACAAACACATTAACCACTACAAAAAGCTTAAAGAAAATGAGACACAAATCACCAAATAAAACAAACATACAAAAAAAAACTATTACAAATTTATGACATGCGTAGCACAGGGAGTCCCAGTGGCTGGCAAATACCTTCAGCATGGTCATGGCCATTTTCATCAGGGATGCGTTCAATCAGAGTCTCAATGGACTCATCCCAAATGGGCCTTGTGTCAAAGATGTCCTCAGGAACTGAGTGCTCGGTCTCAACAGCTGGCAGGTTTTCAATTACTGAAACTTCCAGGGCACTACTACTTTCATCATCTGAAACTAATTCCTGTTCCCTTTCTGACTGTGTAAGTCTATCCACTAACTTGGAAGCCTCATCACTAATCTCCTCAAAGAATTCTATGGAGTTTCTGTAGAGGTCAAAGAAATGTTCCCTGCTTTCTTTAGTGGGGCTCACGCCCTCCCTGCCGGAGGAGGCGGTGCTTCTGCTCTTAACTGGCAGTCGGGATGCAAATATCTTTGGTTTTGTGGCCCCTTCTTCTGATTCTAACTCAAGCTCCTCTGCCCCTTCTCTGCCTTCTGCTTCTGTCTCAGTGTAACTTCTGTTTATCACTGGGCATCTGATCTCTGAGTCCAAAGGACCCTCATCGGATTCAGATTTGCTTCTATTATCTGGAGCTCTGCTTGTCATGTCCTGTCCCTGAGGAACTGCTGTCTTCTGGAGAGACAAGTCTGCATGAGAAAGCTGCTGCTCCACTCTTTGGATGGGTGCTTTGATGGGGATTTTGGACTTTGGTTTTGCTTCATCCTCCTTCTTTTCCTCATCCAGACTGGAGAGAAATTCCTCAGACACTGAACTCTCATTCTCCACAGATGGAGGGGCTGGGGTTGAGGTGGGTACAGTCCTGACAGGAATTTTGGATTTGCTTTCGGTGGAAGGCACATTCTCCATTGACGCAGTAGGGATTTCAATCACTGATTTTTGTTCCTCTGGGGAAGAATCGGGAGAATCATCATCTCGACCTGAATATACAGACCTGGTAACAGTGGAGAAATCTAACTGAACTTGTACAACTGGCTCTGGGGAATCAGGGCGAGATGACAGAGGAGGTACATCTTCCATTTGCATAGTAGGGAGGTCCTCAGTCCCTGTAGAAATATCCTTTTCAGTGGTCATTTCAGTCGCGGTTGAAATGCCCATTTGGGTACTGAGTTGAGTATCCGAGGCAGGTACTTCCTCTGCTTCCTCACTCAGATCATCTGGAACTAAGTCGGCTTCATCATCCCCCATTTCTTTTGATTCTGAAAGTGCTAGTGACCCAGCTGATGTCTCTGCTTGTGGGGGCTCAACCACAGTAGTCCCTTCTTTTATGTCTTCCGAGAGCATCTCTTCCCTGGATTCTTGGCCAATTTGGAAAAAGTGGAAACTTTCATCTGCATAGGACCGCTTGGTCATATCAATAGCACCACTTCGGGTCATTTCAAACAATTTTCCTTCCTGAAAGAGAAATGGATTTTGTTCACTTGTTGGGGTCCCTTCTTCAGTTGGGGTCCTGGCAGGAGTGGTGTCAGGGGTGGTACCCTGTGATTGTCTGTCTACCATCAAACCAAATATCTTTTGTTCTTCCTCTTTCACTCGAGCCTCGAAGGCTTCATCATCTTCTCGAATTTCACTCCATGAATCAGAATCCACATCAGTTTTTGTGATGATGACTTTGCTTATTTGTTCAACATTGACTGCTGGTGTATTCGGCATAGAAGGCTCTGAAGATGAGGAGGATTTTCCTGGCTGCAATTCCCCCATGGTATTTTCTTGCTTGGTTTCAATTTCTATCTTCTGGCTCTCAATATTAGATTCTTTGCCTGAAACAACTCTAGAGGAGCTTCCCACCACGACTTCTTCGACAGAGGACGTGATGGTAACAGAACATACTGCAGAAGAGTGAGAACTTGTGGTGTGACTTTCATCTGTTTGCACTTTGCTTTCTTCACTACAGAAAAAAGACTGGGGAGGAACATTTTCATAAGGGCTTATGATTTGAGGATCAAAGATTTCATCAGTCTCAGTTAGGTCAGACACAGGACCATCCATGGAAAATCTCTCTGCTTGCATAGTCATAGATGAGTCTTGAGTGGAACAGTCCATTGATAGGCTCTCAAAAGCTTGATCTGTTTTTACAACCTCCACTTTTGTAGTGGCAAGTGTGGGGGATAGGTCTTCACCTAATTCTTTTCCTTCAGATCCTGAACAATGAGGCAAGGAGGACAAAGATGAAGAGTTGTCTCTAGGGAAATCTCCTTGTGGAGATTCTACCACAGATGCATCTAGTTCTTCCCCTAGTACAGCTTCTTCATGAGTGTCATGGAGAGCTAATGCTTCCTTACGGAGGGCCAGTTGTTCGTTGATATCATCACCAGTTTCACTCTGGAGGCCTCCAGATGTAGGAGTGGCTGAGCCATTAGGACTCAGAGCCTCACACCCGTGGCCATCACAGGTTTTTGGCTTATCAGTGTCTCTGTTGAGATCATCATCAGATCTATGTGTGTCACTGGTGGAAACAGTATGACTGTCTTCAGTGAAATGGGTTTCACAATCTTTTTCTTCTTCTGATGTACGTGCCTCTTCCTGAGTATCGTCATTCATCTTGAAAGTATATTGTTTGGTAGCAATAGGCTGGAACTGTACTTCTTCTGGACTGGAGTTGGAGTCTATGCTAGATGGAAGAGGGGAAGGAGGTTGCACTCGAATCACTGGTTCCTGTAAAAGGCCTGAGTCAGCACCTTTTTTAAGCTGTGTCAATTCAGGTTCACTTTCTGAGGAAGAAGAAGTCTTCCTGCTCTCTGAAGTCACTAACACAGGGACATCACTTTCACCATCCACACTCTCCATGGGTTTTGGTTCATCCATGTCTGCTGAACAGTCAGCATCTGGGTCTGAGGATGAAGGAGATTCTTCTTGCTTCTGCTCTTTTCTGCAGTCCCTCTTCTGCTTTGCTTCTTGTTCAAGTTCATCAAACATTTTAATTTTGGTTACCATTTTAAACATTTCCTCTTCAGGTGTGAACCTCTTTTTCTCTCCATTTTCTGAGTCATCCTCTTCTGCACATTCATGAATCACAGCTGGTTTGGGTGTGCTTGTGTCTGTGGTTTTGGGTGTGACCTCGTAGCTCACTTCCTCAGAGCTGGGGGTGTCAGGAGAGAGGGGGCTCTTCCCTGAGCTCTCCATGAGTGACGTCTGCTCAAGGCTGTCATCCTCAGCACTACCATCAGGGTCTCGGAGTAGCCGTGACCGCACCGAGGCCACTTCTGTAAAGAGCTCTGTTTTGGCAACAGCTGCAGGCAGAGGAAAGTGACTTGGCAGAACTCCAGCCTTCATCTTTGGTTCGACAGGGCTGCTTTCCAGAGAGTCACGGCAAGGAGACTCTTTCAAAGGACTTGGTTCCAGAGAATCTGGAGTTTTGTGTGAGGAGTTATCCTCTAGCACGGGACTGGCTTCCAGAGAGTCTTTGTGGCTCACTGCTAACGATTCATCAGCCATAGGACTGAGGACTTCACTGTCACGGCTATGGAGTGCAAGTTCTAACCCTTGGGGACTTCTAATGACTCCCTGGGGCTTTGATTCAGTTCCTGTGTCTGCCTTTGCGCTAGCATCAGGTGGGGACTTAGTCTCATCTGAGGGTACTGAGGACTCCTGAGTTTCAGTGTCAGTTTGTGTCTTGTGGGTTGAACCCCCAAATGTAAGATGATTTGCATCGTGGGATGCTTCCTCAGTTAGTGCATGGGGCGTTTCTCTTGCTAATGTTAAACTAGAACTGTCAGAGCAATCACTTTCTTGCTTGGGGCACGTATCTTTGGAAGTGTCTGGGGTGGCCTTCTCCTGCAAACACTCAGGAGAGGGCTCTGAGTCCTCAGTGACTGTGGAACCTGGCCCTTCAGGACAAGCAGTCACGTTTTGGGTGGTGGGATGTTCTCTTTCTGAAAGAATTTCTGATGGCATTGCTAACTTGGTGCTTTCCTTTGTTTCCCCAGTTTGTTCCTCACTTCTCTTTGGCGAGAAAGAAAGGCTTTCTGGGCTTGTCTCGGGGGTCTCGGCTAGGCCCTCATGCTTATAGCTTTCTTCCGAACTAATCTGAGGGGTGCCCTCCATCAGGCTGCCGCACGGAGAGCCTATGATCCCTTCATGCTTGAGACTTTCCGAACTGCCATCCATAGCACTGCTCTGTAAAGACAGCACTGGGAGGAATTCGTCTTTCATGTAATCTAGCGGAAATGTGGTGTCGAAAGGGCTGGTGAGCACTTGGTCTAAGTGAAGTTGGGCCTTTTCGGTCTCTTCACTCAGGCAGAATTGTTGGTATTTGTCATTGTCTTCCAATTCTTGCTTAATGACATCAGAAAAGTCAGTGGATGTTTTTCTGTCTGGGCTGATCTGGAGATCCATGTCTCCCTGTTCTTCCGCCATCTTTTCCTTGGGGATGTCGCTCTCTCTCTGGCTTTCTTCTTCGGCTGCTGACTGCACAGGTTCTGGTGTTTTGGGCCCAATTGCTTTCTCCTTTTCTCCAGCTGTGTCTTCTCTCTTAAATCCAATGGAGGATGTCCGGATCCCTCTTTTGGGTTCCGAAACTCCGGTTACTGCGAATCTCTGGCCCCGTTTGCTTGTCTGACTCTCTGTCTTCTGCGTTTCTCGCTGGGTTATGGGCTGCCCCTTTTCTTTTTCTCCCCGGACTTTACCTTTTTCTTGAGGTTGTTTCTGTTTGGCTGCTTTGTGCTCAAAGAGACCAGTTTTATGTTTAGATGGGTCCTGACCCGATTGGAACGCTTTCATCAGCTCCCGAACGGACATGGTTTCCTCAATTCTTTCTGTTTTTGAGGTGGGGGATACAGGCGGCTGCTTTTCTGTTTTCCCAGGTGACACAGGCAGGTGCTTCTCCGTTCTCCCAGCCGTTGATAGAGGTGGATGCTTCTCTGTTCTTCCAGAAGGTGAGACAGGCAATCGTTTCTCTGTTCTCCCAGGTGACACTGGTGGATGCCTCTCTGTCTTCCCAGAGGGTGATACAGGTGGGCGTTTGTCTACTTTGCCTGAAGGTGAGACTGGTGGGTGTCTTTCTGTTTTTGTAGACGACACCGGGGAGTGTCGTTCTGTTTTGGTTGAGGGTGACACAGGGGAGTGCTTCTCAGTTTTGCCCGATGACACCGGGGAGTGTCGTTCTGTTTTACCTGAGGGTGACAGTGGAGTGTGCCGTTCAGGTTTTGCAGAGGAGGAAAGGGAAGAATGTCTTTCCGTTTTGGAGGAGGGGGATGTTGGCGCATGCCTCTCGGACTTCAGGGAGGGTGACGCCACAGGATGTGTCCGGTGCACGGTCTTCTTTGGCACGTCCTCTTTGCCTTTAACTCTGATCGGCAACTTGCTCCGACCTTTCTGTTCATCTTCCACGCGTTTCTGAAGGGCCTTTACTTTGTCCTTTATGGAACCAATGGGGGTTTCTTCTATCAAAGGAGACGTGGCCTTCACAGTGGGAAGAGGTTCAGGGGCCAGACCTGCGTCTTCATCTAATGACTCTTCCGAACTGCATTTTTTAAGTTCAGTTTTGTCAGCATTAGCTGGCAAGCCTTCCTCCTTCTGCTTCTGCTTCTCTTTTAATTTCCTTCTCACTGGCTTTTTTATTCCCAAGCTTGGTTTGTGCTGCTTCTGTGTGGCCTGCGTCTCTTCAGAGGACACGTCCTTCCCTCCATTTGCAGAGCTCCTGTCCATAACCACAGCCTCACTTTGCTCCCCTGTTGTGTCTTGCTCCATCTGCCGGGGCTCTTCCCGTGAAGACTCGTAGGAATTGAGATCCTCTGTAAGGTAGCTCACTAGCCCAGTCGGGTCTTTCTCTGCTTTGACTTTGGGCTCCTTCTCTATCCTAACTTCTACACATGGATATTCACTCACTTCTAGAGGTGCTTTTTGCCTAGCCTCTTCTATTTCCTCCTCACTGACAATAACCCAATCCTCCTCCACTAGTTCTCTCTCAGACTGAGAGGCCTGCACCCTGCCTTCGTCCCTCGTGCAGGTTCCACTCCTCAGGATTTCATTCACCTTTTCTAAGTCCTCTTTTACTCTTTCAACAATTTCAAAAGGCTCTCCTGGCTCTTCCTCGGCCGCCTTCACCAGCTCCTTCACTTTAATAGAACCTGCCTTATCAGACACATCTGTGGTCAAGATGGCAGTCATTTTGATCAAATCTTGTTTCATCTCAGAAACTTCAGAGAGCAAGTCCGGACTTGCTAGGACAGGAACTTCATTAACCAGGTGACTTTTCAGGACAGATGTTTCTGTAGATTCTGTCTCATCATCTTTGATGTGAATGAAAAACATTGAAAGTAAAATGGAAATCAAAAAAGATATTGGCAAATGTAATCAGGACTGAAACGACACAGCGTCTTTTCCTGCCGTGGTGGGAAGGGCAACAGAACGGGCTGGGAATGGCGGATCCACAAGGTCTCAGGGTACAAGAGCAAAGCAAGGCTAACGGAAAAAAAACTGAAAAGGAAAAATGAGCAGGAAATAACTTGCTTAATTTTCTCAGTTGTAGCACATCCACACATACAACAAAGCTATAACAAAGAATTGGGACATACACACATAAAACCATCACAAATCGAAACAAAGGAAGAACGCAGTGAAAGTACACAGAGGTATCTCAAGATTGTTCAGATGTTACAGATCAATGTTGAAAAAAAAAAAAAACATGGGGGAAAAATGAAGAAAAAGCATTAAAAACTGCAGAAAGTTGATTTCCTCTAGGAGAAAGCCAGTAGTAGCAAACTCAGACTAACATCTAATGATGTGTATACATTTTAAAATCAGAGACAAATATGGAATTCAGTACCTTTAATTCTGCCAATATACAGTGACTAGACAAAATATATCTGAATCAGATGCTAACCGGCATTTCAACTAAGGGAAATTCACACCTAACGATGAAACAAACACTCTTATGCTAAGAGGCATGATCCTTTCCTTGGAGCAACCTCCTTGTTTAGACACGTAATGGATAGACCAAGGAGGGAAAGAAAGGAAAGAAAATCAACACAAACAACAACTGTGATTCAACTTATATGTGAGTTCAAAGGTCAAAAGGTGATGCATGGCAACCCAAATCAGAGACAGTCACACGGGACACACGCACAGTTTATGTAAGCCAAGTTATTTCCATGCAAAGCAAAGGTGGAGTAAAACTGCCGGGAGAGGCTCCTTGCAGAAAAGCACAGGCAGGAGGAGGATGGTGAGAAATTAGAACGGATGTGTAAAACACCACTGTGGTGAAGTGTATTTACTTCCCTGCAAACTGGTACGGGAGAAGCTGAGGCACATGTTCAGGGAGCTCACAACCATTTAAGGAAAGGAGGGAAACTCAAACTCTTGTAGGATTTACTCATTTAAAAAAAAATAGGAGAGAATTCCCTCAGCAGAGATCTTCTTTAAAGATTATCTTTTACTAGATAAGGATTATTTAATGATTATCTTCAAATTTAAACAAAACCAAACAAGAGTGTCTACAACATCTAGGAGTCATTCAAGAGAATCCAGGGTATCAGAGCAACATGGTACCACTTCTGCTTCTTTTGTTTTGAATAATCAAATCAGATAGGTTAAGGCTGAATTCTTAATAGCTTGTATTCAAGGGACAAAGGAAAGAGCCATTTAAATAAGGATGTACCACAGTACTGAAGAAGAAATGGGAGAATAAAATAAAATCACTTTCAAAAATAACTGTGGAATCAATGAAGGCAATGATAATGTCATATAAGCAAAAATGCCTTTTCTTGAGAGAATCTGTCTTTACTGGGGAGATGTAGTATGTGTCTATGCATATGTAAATAAATTAATTTATATCAATACAGATATCTTCAACTACACAAACCACTGAGCAATCCAGAATCTCAAATATTTAATCCTGAATAATGATTTAGTGATGATAGACCACAGTTAAAGCCATTCCATTAACTGGGAGTAAATCACATTGTACTAAAACTTAAAAATCCTCAGACCATCTCATAGGGCCAGGTGTCCATATTAAACATGGCTCTAAGTTTTCTCCTTTTGGGAATATCTCTTTGAAATATAATAAATCAAAATAAATTTAGAATAAATAAACAGTAAAAGTTAGAATTTGGGAAGAGTCATAGAAATAACAAAAACCTACAAAATTCAACTTGAGTTTCCACACAAGAAGGGACAGAGTCCCTGGAAATAGGCCAGTCAACAAAACATGTCAATTGAGTATTGCAAACTTGAAATGCATTTTAAGATAGCCCTTTTAAGGTCTGTACAAACCAGTGCTCTCGATTCTAGATCAGGTTTGAGATTTTCATGATTATTTAAAAATAACCCAATAATAACTTATTGCTGTGATTATAACATAGTTTTGTAATTTCATCCAGGAAGTTTTAATTTGTACATTATTGGATTCTAGTTTTTTTTTTTTTTTCCAGAAAGTTTTCACAAAAATCTTTTAGACCTCAGCCTTAAAGGTTTTAGTTACACTTCACCACAGTAAGGGATGCAAGGGAGGGGAGGGGTGGTTGGGAAAAGTTAGTTTCAGCTAGTAACTATTGAACAGTATCACTTTTGCAGGTCTATCCTATAAAAATCATGAACTCTCTGCAGAAATCACGGTTGCTTTATAAAAAGTGATACTGCCATGTCAGTGCTTAAAAATTAATGAGGTGAAAATGTTATGCTAACAAATGGACAAAACGGAAGGGTGGGTTTCTAAACAAGCATAACAGCAATACCAAGGTTAACAGGGATGTCAAAAGAAAGTGAATGCTTAAATGAATAATAATTGCATTTTACTGCTAATTAGCTCACAAATTAGATATATCTGTAATTTAACTGGCCAAGCTGCTTTTATAAATATATATTAATGATTAATAAGGCTAAAATATAATCATTACAGTGATTAGTAATGGAAACAAGCTTGCATATTAATTAATCTTAATTCATGCTTCTCTCTAATATAGCCAGCTTTCAAACAAACTAGTGTTATTTAAAATCTTACTTTTTTCTGATGTCATATCGATCTGAAAGAAAACATACATAAATTGAATGGTTACAAATAGCATCTTAGCTCATAGCTCCTAATGTGTACAATAAGCTCCAATTCAAAGTTATACACATGGAGGTGATATCATAAACTACAGGAATTTATTGCAGTAATTTCTATGAGATTCTCAGTGATTTTTATCATAACTGAAAAAAAAAAACCTTTTCTAGAGACTACAGGTAGAAAGTCCTTTCTAAATGTTATTCCCTGGAAAATGGGACCCAGGCCGTGTTTTTGGTTAGCAATATATATTTAATAGGGACAAGGTCAAGAAAAGTGCAAAGTGACTATTAAACTAAAGTGTCAATTTAGTAGTGAAACAGAATGACAAATAGCATGCCAGGGTGTTACAGTCTACAGAAAAACTTTTGCCATCACTCATAACAAGTCAGCATTCCAAATTCTAGAAGGAATCCCAATGGGATCTATTGCCCTGAAGAGTCCCTGGAAGTACTCCATGGGAAAATCTATACATCTAGTGGGAAAGATTCATTTGTGAACATAGCAAAGTTGGTTTATTTGTGTTATTGCTCTTTCAGGAAGACGCATAGGTATTGCTTTTAACAGCTGCGGTGATAGGGTCACCGAACATGAAAGCAGTTGAGTATGTGAGAAACAGAACATGCAGTGAAGTTCAGCAACAAAGACTTCATTCCTGTCATAAACTGATTTTCTAGGTGGCCACCTAGGCAGGACAGAGAGTCTGTACCACCCCTCTCGCCAGGGTCCACTGCCAAGATATAGGAAAAAAATACATTCAGGGGGATCCTGTAAACCAATGCCTTACATTTTAATCTCCTGGGTACAAGGATATTTTTATTTGCATTTTTTGTATTTCAAATGTATCCAAATACATTTAGAAAACTAGTATATCCAAAATCTTTACACGTAACTAGTAACAATTACATTTGTCTACCTTAGATATAGAAACTGATATATTAATTGGTAAATATATGAAATTTTTCAGTGATTTCTTTCATTTCTATTATAACATCTGATCATTTTCAGATCTTTATAAGGGAAATAAATACATATTTGCTGTAAATGTTGAAGCAGGTATAATTCAAATGGCTATTTTTTCCAAGAAAACCACTCTAAGACTATTTTCTTCATCTGTGATATGATAGCCTATACTTCATAGGGTGGTTGAGAGAGATCAGTGTTAATGAAGTACACTGAGGAATTAGAAAAGACTCGGCTTTCAGTAGTGTAGTTCTCATCACAACATTATTGTAGCCTAATGGGTGAACCACATACTCCTTACAGTATTTTTGTCTCAGTGGTTTTCAAAGTTTTTGGTTAAGGACTTCACTCTCATGAAAGTTTCTAGGGAGCCTAAAGAACTTTGGTTTTCTTGTGATATTTATAAATCAATCTGTGTTATAAATTAAAGCTAAGAAGATGTTGGAACACAAGAATATGAGGCCATTACAGATAATATAGCCTCTGGAACACTGCTTTGCAGCTTGTGAGGATATGGGAGTTTAAGAGGAAAATAATATTTTACTTCTGTAATAAAAAGACTTATCTCCACACATTTTCAGATTAACCTTTGAGAATTGCTAAAGTGTGATTCAGATTTCAGTAGTTGGCAGAGACATGTACATTGTTGCATACAGACAAGACAACAGCTTACAGGGCAACTTTACTATTCTCTGAAGTGGATTTGTAAGATAAAGAAGCAGAGTCAGAGAGCTGGGGTAAAATTTTGTCCGTTTAATGACTAAGAATAACTGCTTACTCCTTCTAAGAATACAGGTTAGCTAAGTGCTCTTATGAGTGGTAATAGCAATGATACAGCCATTAACAAGCGACACTGTCATAAAATTACCTCTTCCTCCTGTTCTTGATCTGACTCTGATTCCTGGCCGACCCAAGATGCCATGCAAGATGGGAAAAAGAGAGAAGGAAGAGTAGAGAGCATTTAGAAGAGCAAATACCCTGCCAACAAATAGCGGGCAAGCATATAATCAGCATACTCTCACTTTTTCTTATTGATGTTTACAGTATACAGGCAGAAAAATCAAAGAGGACTGATTTAAATACAAATCTGTAGAGTCAAGAGAAAAAAAAGAACCAAATTTATAAATACACTAATTTTAGATGCTAGGTCACCAGCAGTCTCAAAGTTGGACTTCTAATAGATTTGATGTCATTTGTCTATATTGAAACGGGGATGCTAACGAAGTCATTGTAGACACTGTTGAAAATGTTAAAAGTTACAGATAAACATATGGTGAAAGCATTTTCAATACCCAGGCAATATTTGGGCATTTTAATATAAATAAAGAGCTATTAAATTTCAAAGTATATTTTGAAGTACAATATTTAACATTTTTTATTGTTTTCAGTTGCTAAATAGAAAATTGTCCTAGAACACAATGGCATTACTAATTGTCTCTGATATGTTTGGACAGAAATAAGATGTTATAACAAATAAATACTTTCTTTCATAGCACATTGAAAGCTCACAAAAATCAGACATAGTTTATTCACCTTAATGTAACACTAAGATGGCTTGTCTATGGAGTACACTTTTATTTGTGGTTCTTATTTGGCATTCTTAGAATAATATGTATATTGAGCTTACTTCAAAAAGTTCATGAAAAATAGAATTAAAAGATAAGTTTTAGCGCAAAAAGTATTTAAATTTGTACTTAGGTTTTTCATAATATATATTTTCTATGAGCTTTTTGAAGATCTCTTGTATGCATAACATTTTATTCTGTTCTTTATCATTTTGTAAGAATTTATAAAGTCAAAATAATACTATGAGCTTTTCTCTGTGTGATTAATCTTTATTTATAAGAGTAATTAGGAAAATATATAATTTGACAAAACTGCTGGGGAAATTAATGCAGGAATTTATGGAGTCAAGATTGAGGATTTTAAATATATCCCTACTTCTCCTCCAGGTCTTCATGGTCATCTCTTACTCCCTCCCCTACCCATACTATCAACACTGACAACTTGCTGCACCCACCCATACACTGCTATATGTTGCATCTGAGTAAAAACAAAGTATATTGGTTAAACAATCAAAAATAATAAAAAAGAGGTTATCCACAACATTTAACTCATTCAACTGTCTTCTTTGACTTAGTCAAAGTACTCAAGGAATTACGAATTAGGGGAAGGTAGATAAACTTTGGTTCAGAAAGTAATGATTTTTTTCTCTTTTTTTGATTCATTTTATTTATTTGAAAGGATGATTCACAGACAGAAGGGGAGAGACACACAGAAAGAGATCTTCCATCCTCTGATTCACTCCCCAAATGGCCACAAGGGTCAGGACTGGGCCAGGTTGCAGCCAGGAGCTAGGAACTCCATCCAGGCCTCCCATGTGGGTGCCAGGGATCATCTTCTGCTGTTTTCCCAGGTACATTAGCAGGGAGCTGGATTGGAAGCCGAGCAGCCAAGACTCAAATGAGAACTCACATAGAATGCTGGTGTCACATGCAGTGGCTTAACCCTGCCGTGTCACAGCACTAGCCTCCTTTTTCAAACAATGTTTCAAATCCACTCCTTATAGCATGGTGATATTTTCTACTAATAATGTTAAAACAATTGAAGACTTAATTGAATACTCTTGGGATAGGTTGCAAGAACAACAGGTAATTATTTTAGCAAAAATATAAAATGATCAGTATAGTCTCAGTAGAACACCTAAAAAATAACGGACAAAGTCACTTATTTTATTTTCAAAAATTAGGTCACAGAGTTAAATCTTAGAATGGTCTTGTGAAAATGTATTCAATGCAAAATAAGGGCAAAACTACTTTTTCCTTACTTAAGGGGAAAACTGTAAGCTTGAAAGGGAACCAGATATGATTCTTATATGGGCTTGCATTCAGTGGAGGATTTGAAATTGCAACAGTGCCTGAATTGGACTCAGCACAATTTTACAATACCTTTGTATAAACTGGCAGGGTGATGTTGAGGTTGCAAATAGCTTGATGCACCAGGCCTCTTGTGGATTTGGGCTCCTTCATAAATGATAGTCGTCCGCAAGGTTCCTGAGTAGTATCACGTACCTTGAACGAGAATGACATTCATGCTTCACCCATATCTAATACATACTATTTCTTTTAGTTAGATGATATTAGAAAGGAGAAAATAAAATTCATTTGCAAATGCTAAGTTAGGATTCAAAAGTCTAACTTTTTCTGTTTTCCTGTTACTGTTAAGAATGACTTTTTAAAAAAATTTATTCAGTTTTTCTTTAGATTTATTTTGAAGTATGATTGACAAAATTGTATATATTTAAGGTCTACAGTGTGATGATTTGATATATGCACACATTAGAAATGGTTACCACCATCAAGCTAAGTCACATGTCTATTGCTTAATATAATTATACTCTTTTTTTGTAGAGCAAGAATACTTAAGATTTTTCTTAATAAATTTCGAGAAAGTAACACATTGTTATTAACAAATTATCACACTCTACGCTACAGCCCCAAAACTTGAATTCAGTTTTTGAAATTGTGCCAAAATAGACATCATATATTTATTTACTGTTTTAAAATGTACAATGCAGTGGCATGAAGCACATTCCAAAAGTTATGTGGTTATCATCATTATCTAGGTTTCCAAACAGAAACTGTACCCATTACACAACTCCCATTCCCATCTTTTCCTAGTCCCTGGCAGCCTCTATTCTACTGTCTATGAATTTGCCCATTCTAGTTATCTTAAATAAGTGGAGTTACACAGTTTTTGTATTTTTCTACCTGGTTTATTTCACTTAGCCTAATGTTTTCACAGTTCAGCATGTACAAAGATTTCATTGCTTTGTAAAACTGTGGTAATTGATAAACAACCTAAAACTTACCATTTTAACCATTTTGAGGTAGACAGTCTGGCGGCATTAGGTGTATCCGATGCATTCACTTTGTTATATAACCATTACCACCATCCATCTTCTGAACTCACTCCTCTTTCCAAACTGAAATTATCCATTAAACAATTTCCACCCGCCTCTAGCAAACACCCATTTATTTCCTGTATCTATGGATCTGACCACCCCAGATCCCTCATAGTTATGGGACCATACAAAATTTGCCCTTTGGGGTCTGACTTATTTTATTTAGCATATGTCTTCAAGGTTCAAACCCACTGCAACCTATTCATAATCCCATTTCTGTTAAAGGCTAAATTATAATTTATCTATATATCTATATCTGTATCTATCATCATCTCTCTACACATGTATATATTACATAATATATATGTTTATGCTATATATGTATATATGTGTTTTATATATATGTATAACACATTTTGTTTGTCCATTCATCTGTTAGTGGACACTTGTAGTGTTTCTACCTTTTGGCTATTGTACATAATGCAAAGGATATTGGTGTGCAAGTAACTGTTTGGGATCCTGCTCTCAATTCTTTTGGATATATACCTAAAAGCAGAATTTTTGGATCACATACTAATTCTATATTTTCCCAGGGACTCTACTAAATGGCACAATGAAACGCTCAGTAGACAACCTGGGAAAATCTAGTAAAATAATGAAGTAGAGATCTTAGGAAAACCTAGTAAAAGGTCTCAGTTAGTATGTCATACAAGTATTACCGCATGCTTGGAAAAATCATGCGAAGTTAAAACAGTGACAGGAGTCATTGCTAATGAACAGCTTGGGGATTACTAGCTTGAAGTAGAAACTAGAAAAAAAAAAACTAGGAAGACCAGCTTAAACTTTATGAGGACTGAAAACTAGAACCTTTAGATTAGTGAAATAAACTGGACACAGGATAGAAAATGAGTGGCTAGAAAACAGTCTCATTCATACAGCTGGAGTCCTCATCACAACTGGAAACTTATATGTACAACTGCTACATCCTCAACTTGGATTAATGTTTCTGAATAGAGACAACAAATTCATGGTTCACTGAGGTATCCCCATGATGTTTCTTGAATAAATTTATGAAAGTATTTCTAGTCTATAGCTCTATCTGGGACAATTTCTTATTAGCCTACGTAACAACCTAGATCTTCTGAAATATGTTATTACAAAAACTTGTCCCTAGAAAACTTTGGTCTCCAGAACTGTGAAATTCATACACATTTTTAAAGTCTAAGCATAAATATTTAAAGTCAATAATAGTAAAGAAAATGTTGACTTCCCTTTATGTTTAGAAGAGGATAGATATTGTTTCTAGTGAAGGAATTGGCTGTTATTTCTCCTTATTTTATTCCTTAAAAATATTCTGTAAATAAAAAATTAATATTGACTTGGAACTTTAAAAATAAAAACTGCTACTTTCCAGGACTACAGTATCTTATAGAATCACTGGAAATGACTGACTGAAAAGTGAATATTCTCTATTACCAAAGGAAATCAAATCCTTTCTTGATTTTAATAAAAGTAATTTCCATATCTACATTACCTTGACAAAGAGAGGAAGTCTGTTTTCTTTGAAAGCAAAAAAACTGAATATATGATGCTGGCCACTCTTCGTTAGTGGCACCAGGTTGCCAAAACAATCAACGTAAATGGGTTTTCCTTCTAATACCTGGATAAAAATAGAGAAACAAAACAGAATAAAATAGCTGTGATTGCAACTTCTTTAAACAAAGAAGTGGTAGTACTTATTGAAATATTAAGTTATTAAAATATACACCAACAATCTTCAATTTGCTAATTTATATTTTATCTTATCTTTGGCACAGCACATACCAGCACTTCCTCTTCTCACTACTAAAAGGAATCTTTAAATATTAGGTGGGATTTGATTTTTTTATTTCTAACATTGCCTCATGACACCCCTCAAAATCAATACATAGATAAAGTATTTGATTGGATAGCTTTGGATATTGCTATGAATTAGATAACTAGACTTCAATATCCAAAGACCTACAGTAATGAAAAATTCTGAAATAAGAAAAAGTAATACAGAAAAGCATTGTATATCCCACTTCAGCATTTACAGAAAAGGATTTAATTCCTAGTCTGTTTTCTTTACTATTAAAAGAATAAAAAGAATAGCAAGGAAAGCTAGAGACAACTAAGCTGTTATTGTCACATACTTTGAGTTTATAAACAACTCACAATTTCTACCCAAATAATCTTTAGATATCCTTTCACTTTCTCAAATACAACTGAGGTCATCACTACTGGATAGGTCCAAAGTGTGTAAAACAGCTAATTTAATATCTTGACTTTCAAACTGATGTAGATACAAATGAATATTTTTATGACTCTATTAAATTCTATTTGAAATATAATCTATTAATAAAGGTTTCACAGGGCTGGGGTTGTAGCATAGTGGGCTCAGCCTCCACCTGCGGTGCTGGCATCCCATATGGGTGCCAATTGGTGTTCCTGCTGCTCCTTGTCTGACTCAGCTCTCTACTATAGCCTAAGAAAGCAGTAGAACATGGCCCAAGTACTTGGGCCCCTGAACCTGTGTGGAACACTGCAAAGAAGCTCCTGGCTCCTGGCTTGAGGTCAGCCCAGCTCCAGCTGCTGTGGCCATTTTGGGAGTGAACCAGCAGATGGAAGACCTTTCTCTCTGTCCCTCCCTCTGTCTCCCTCTGTAACTCTAACTCTCAAATAAATAAATAAATAAATAAAATCTTTTAAAAAATTAGAAAGGTATCACAACACAGCATAATTATTTTTTAATACAGTACCTCCACATCCCTGCTTCTGGCCACCTCAGCAAAGTTTTCTTGTTGTTCAAGGGTCTTGTCCACTTTATCATCAGTCATGCAGAAGCATCTCAACCTGGCTTCAATGGGGTCATGTGATTTAGCAAACACTACAAATTTGGCCATATAAGGTACACAGATAATTTCTCTATACACCTGTGATGCAAAGGTAACTGATTCCTGGATCTGTCGGCAGTCTATGAGCCAGAACCTACAAAGGAAATAAAAATGAGTCATCTAAAGTTTAAAGTATATCACTTGAAAAAAAATCAGTTCCTTCAAAATGACCAAAGTGGCCATCAAATGCCTTTTGGAAAAGAATAAAGGGAGAGAGGGAGATGATGAATGACCGCCAAAGGAAAGGAAAATAAAGATAGAGATGGCAGGACAGGTGGAAGAATAGACGGGAAGGCAGAATGGATTAAGAGGCAGAGACAAAGGTATAGCAGGTTTTCAAGGACAATTATTAAATATGATGACACTTCGAAATTCATGGAAAATGGGACTAAAAGATAAATTTAGTTTGATGTGCAAAGTTGTGAAATATACACATAATTTTTTCAAAATAAGTATTTTCAATGAACTTCTTGAAGACCCTCCTTTTGAATGGATTTCAAAATTCTTTTGCAATGAGATAAATTTATCTTTTATTTTGCACAAACTTTTTGAGTGCCTTTGGATTTGTAGTTGTGTTGGTAGTTTTCTTCCTTGGACACTCTTCTGTGTACACAATCTTTTGAACTCTCTCAGCAGGGTTTTAGAATCCTTAAAGGGTGTAAGACCAAGATCAGCCACAAGAACAGAGATCTTGCTGTATGAGCTTTGATTTTTCCTTAATTTCTCCACCCACACTGGCCGCCTAGTCTGTTCTTCGTTACTTTTCCAGAAACTCTTTCACCAGAATCTACTTAGCTTTTCATCTTCTCATCACTCTTTTCCCAGAAATTCTCTAGTCACAAATGTTGGCTCAACCCCCAAACTCGTAAGTACTCTAGAATTCACAGAAGAAAACTATTGGCTCCACGACTGGATGACTCCCAGAGCTGGCTGAGCCTAGGACATTACACAGTAACTTTTTGCTCATTTTTTTTCCCCAGTACAGTAAAACTGTTAAACCCTGAGCTTCCCCCTCACTCCAGGTCCCATGAAAGATAGTTTCACAGAGAAAGTAGATGCCATTTGATATTTGTACTTTCCCAAAGGCTTATTCCGTATCCTCGTTTCAAAACTTTTCTCCACATTCCTGAGATTTCCTTATCTTCTTAGCCTTTCTTTCTCCCAATATCCTTTTCTATCTTTCCTCTTCCTTTTTATTAATGCAAAATATACATAACATGAAATCTATCCTTTTAACCACATTTAAGTGTACAGTTCTGTGGTATGAAGTGCATTCCCAAAGTTGCACAATCAGCACCACTATCCATTTCCAAATACTTTTTATCATCCCAAATAGAAACTCTGCACCCACTAAACATTGACTTCTCAATTGCACCCTCACTCCAGCCCCTAGCAACCATATATTTTTTCTTAACATGCATTTTCCATAGCTGTTTTGCAGACTCCTTGTATAAGTGGCATCCTACAATATTAGTCCTTTTCTGTCTGGCTTAATTTAGTTAGCATAATGTCTGTAAGGTTCAGAATAGTGCCTGGATCATGGCAAGCGCTGAGAATTAACTTACTGATTCTACTGATTCAACCATACTTTATTTATTATTCAATTGTCTGGGAATTAAAATATTAGTATAATAACTCCTTCTGTTTTGTGATATTTTAGTTGGTTTATTTTGCTTATTTTTTAAATATCTTCTCACAAAATAACTGATTTTCTTTTACCATAAATTTTTTTTAAAATTTTATTTCTTGTAGCATTTTTCATTTCATATAGATCTGGGAGGCTTTTTGTATGTTTTTAACTGCCAAATAAAAATTGCATAAAAAACATAATAAATACATGGTGATTCTTTACTTGATATAACCTAAAAGGCCTTCCATAAACAATGATGTAAACTAATATTTCAGCATTATTTCTGAATATTTCTGAAATATTTCAGCATTATCTCTGAAGATTACAAGCATCATTGTTGCTATCCCCCAATACACTGTCTACCTTCTGTCTTTGCACCTTTGCTCATGTTATTTTCCTTTCACTTTTATGTGCCTCTTAAATTCTAAAATATATCTCAAAAAGTCACCTCTTTTTGGATATTCTACCTACCACTGCCTGCCTCCCCCCCACCCCCGCCCCACCCCCGGTGACTTCTTGTAATATCTATAGTCTACTACTCTTATTCAGAACTTGTCATCTCCTAACAATAGAGTACATATACCTGATTGGCAGAACATAAGGAAACACAGAACTGTAATCTCAATGATTGAGCCCTGTGGGTGGCTGGAACTGCAAATGTGAACCAACACACCTAGCTACTGCTACTGTGCATTGATCTTAACTAGTCTTGCATTTTTAGCTTTTCTAGTCCTCCCCTCCTTGAAAAGAAATTTATGGTTTAAGTACTCTCCACATCAGTTTTCTCAACTATAAAATAAACATAATTCCTCTTGGCCTACTTAAGTCACAAAGAAATATGAAGATGCTTAGCTGTTAAAGGAAAGACCCTAAAAACGGGAAGTAATTTAAACAAATTTAGTTAATGTGGACATAAACAATAAAATCAGATACTTTGAGCTTTTTAAAGATGTGTAATATATAAATGGGTGGTAAGTAAATGTGTTAAGATGTTTAAGTGCCATTGAAAGTTCTAAGACATTTAACAAACCATGGTGGGTTTGAGGCTATTGTTATCCTTCCATGTGAAAGTAATTCAGACTACTTTGTTGACAAAAGGAAAGTTATCATCCAAAAGACCTTTGGGGTTGGAAAAACAAGCAGTGACTGCTGAAGCAGGGAACAGCGAAGTCAGACACTCATTCATTTTCCCTGGATCTTAATCTGACTGCTAGTACTTTTTTATTGCTTTGTCACTGCTGGGTTTGCTGGTGGGTCTCCTTTAAAATATCTAAACAAATGCAGGCCACATTCAAAATTAAACCAAAAAAATCACTTTTAATGAATTAAGAAACAAATAAAAGACAAGATAGGGCTTTTAAGGGGAAGGGAGACAATATCATAGAGGCTGTTCTGAGAAATGATAAACCATACCTGGCAGACACATTGGTTGTAAAGGAAACACATTCATTGACAAATGTTAATGGCGTAGTTCCTGTAATATCTTCCCACTGAGCGGGGGTGGTTCCACCTGAAATAATAGGATTGTTGAAAAAATTAGGCAAAACTCCAGACTCCAGATGATAAAATAAAGTCTTTGTGGTTCTGGCTGTGTTCACCAGTATAATCCGGCCCATCCCTCAAAATGATACATTGGAAACAAAATGACTAAAAACAACATGCTAAAAAAAAATGACACACTGACAACAAACAGCAGACACCACCTCTCAGGCAATGACATTTGAGGGCGGTTATTTGAGTAACTGCTCATGAGGGGTTCTGTTCTCTGCCTGACATCCTGAAGCTTTCATTCTAATTGCTAGGTAATTTTGAATTATATACATTTGCTTATTTTAAAAGATCCTTCGACCAACTAAGGACCTAAAATCAGTGAAATCATTAAAAGCCTTTATTTTGTTTTTTCCCAAGCTAGTTCAATAGCTAAAGACAACCAATTCTAAGCACACTTTGGTTGGAACTACTGGGTATAATTGTTTGCTGATTTTTTTCCCTCAGCAGAAAGAAGGTAATATCTTCAATAAAAAGGTTGAAAACTGTACTTGGGTTTGAATCCCAAATTTGCCAAGTATTTTTAGCATAACTTGAGTAAGTCGTTGACTTATTTCAACCTTGGTTTTCTTCCTAGCAAAATGGTTTTTTTTCTTATAGGACTGCATTGAAGATTAAATCGACAGATGCGATGATTTTGCACAGTCCTTGTCTCAACTGTTGAGGAACAGTGTTTGTTTTTTTTTTCTTCATACTATATGTTGAACTCTTTACTTAGTATAGGGTTAATCTTGTGAGTTTAAAATTCACTGAAAATAGAATTTAGTAAGAAATAAGAATGGAAATAGGAGAGAGAGAAGGAAGAAGAGTGGGACTACAGGAGGGAGAGGGGGAGGAGGAAGAAGAGTGGGACTACAGGAAGGAGAGAGGGTAGGGTGGGAAGAATCACTATGTTCCTAAATTTGTACATATGAAATGCATGAAGTTTGTATACCTTATATAAAATTTTTAACAAAATGACAAAGAATATAAAGTATCTTTATGTTTGAAATACCAAAATTATTTTGTAAATATTAGTTCATTTCCTGTCACCTTTGATCTCACTAGTTATTTAAGATGCTTTTCTTGAATGAATGCATATAACCCTACAGGCACATTATTACTCTCTACTAACACAGTCACATGTGGCTCACCTGTTATGCTGCATAGTAACCTTAAGGTTGGTGCATCTCCCCCAAAACCATTCAGCATGACATCACTTGAAGCTTTGGGGACAGGAATGGTCATTGTAATAGGCTTGTGGAATTTTCTTCTTCTAGGTTCCAAAGTGACGATAGGGCTGAAGGTAGCCTTGTTACCTAGTATCTTCTTAACCAGTTCAGAGTGCATAGGTTGAGCCTTTTCAAAGTAAAGAAAAATATTAAAGTAAACAACATCTTACTCTATCTAATGCCAAATGTCTTATCTGAAGCATTACTTTCTACCTAATTACCCATTTGATTGACTTCAAACATGGCAATCATAAGTTTAGTGTTGTTACTAAGCACCCATAAAACTTGTTGAGACTATGATCCCCAATGGTAGATTTTGCTCACCCAGGAAAAAATATGTTGTTGTTGTTTGAATTTGAAAGCTAAGGAGGGAGAGAGAGAGAGCCAATGTGCATTTCTATTCACTGGTTCACTCTCCAACTGCCTGCAACATCCAGAGCTAAGCCCAGCTGAAGGTGGGATCCAGGAACTCAGGGGTCTCTGACATGGGTCTCTGACATGGGCAGGGACCCAACTATGTGAGTCTGTACCACTTCATTCTAGGGTGACAATAGCAGGAAGCTAGAATTGGAAGCACAGCTGGACCCCCAACCCAAGTACTCCATTATGGGATGCCCTTGTCCAAAGCAGTAGCTTAACCACTAGGCAAAATATCTGCCCCTGATTTTTTTGACATTTTACTTCTCATTTGAAAAGCTAATTTTTTAATCACTGAACTAGAATCCATGATAAGATCATTTGTGTCTAGCATGACCATACCTGCAGGCCTACACGGATTCTCTTGGTTAGTGCCCCCTCTGGGAAAACAGCCTGCACTTGGGGCACCACGGTGCTGCTCAGCACGCCTCCCTCTGGGCCAATCAGGTTGCTGTCCTGTTTGATGCGAGACACCACCGCAAAGTACTGTGGGAAGTCACGGGTGATGATGCGGCAGATTCGTTTCTTTTCAAGGTCTTCGGGGCTATCCAGCACTGAGATAAGAAATGATTCATCTTTGTATAGCAAGGATTTCCTTCTAAAAGCATTCTATCAAACTCATCAGCATGGTTTACAGAGCAGATATGGTGGTAAAACTTTTTTTTTTTTTTTGACAAAAGGAAAATCTAAAAAGCAAGGTTATTCTAACATAAAATAAAAGATGCAATCTTTCAAGACCTGTCAGCATTTAGCTTGCATGTTTTCCTCCTTTGTATAAACTAGGACTTTCTAGGGCACTGTGAAAGACAAGAATCTTGTTCCAGATTCAGTAACGCAGGGCTTTGGAAATGAGAGGGTATGAGGGAAAACCTGGAATGAACGTGAACCTGCTCTATTCTCAGTTCATATGATAGAGAGGAAATGGTGTATGGACTTTGCAAATTTCAAAGTTAGCTCAAAGACAATTATTGTGTTGTCAGTGGGACAGTACAGAAATAAAAACTGTTTGGGGAAGGTAAAGTTTATATTTATGGATTTAAGCCAGGGGGGTGGTTGATTCTGAGATAGATACTGCAGATATAAAAAAAGATAATTTACTATGAATTCAGGGTTTCAGTATTTCTGTAATGCCATTAGTTACCAAATATATCATCTAACATCAAGAGGAGGAGACCATGGGTTCTTTTTAAACTACATTAATATAGAGATACAGGGCAATACAAAAGTCAGATGAGTTTAGAACAGAGAAATCCAAATAAGATGGATCACTGAATTTGAGGGAATTGTGGAATGTTTTCATTTATAGAAATCATTTATTATTCATCCATGAGGCAGAAATAAACTATGTTTCTCTTGACTACTAGGCATCACTAGGCAATAAAGTCCCAAACGTCCCAGGATCTGTTCATATATAATTGAAGACTGATACACTGGCAAATACAAGCAGATCTTTACAAAAGAGTATGTTTCCAAATACAACCGTAAACATGCACATATCTTACTTTTTGCCTTTGCTACAGTTTCAACATGATTTGGCTCCTGAATTTATGCAGACTTTATACCACTAAGTCAGACATTAATGTACTCGGAGGGTGGAAACTTCATCCAGTTATGATATTTAGAAGGTGGGGCTAGTGGTACAGGCTTAGTTCTATGGGGAATGGCCTTGGAATGCAGTTCTGGTGAGAGGGTTGGTTGTAAAAGTTGAGTTGGGCACAACCACCCTCTCTGCTCCCTTGCTTACCATGTGATCCTTTTCCTGTCCATCCTCCACCATTGCTGCCTTTATCAGAGGCCAAACCAACGAGGCCTCTTGATCACAGACCTGACTCTACAACTGTGAACTAAAAAAAACCCTTTTCTTTTTATAAAGTTATTTTTCTCAAGTAGTTCATAAAAGCTTACTCAAAAGCAGCCCTTAAATGCACTGTTTTTCTTCATTAAAACTACATTTTATTAAGTTTAGACTTTAGAAAAATATGTAATACCATCAATCATGTTACAGACTTGGCATCATTTTTACCATTGTAGCTTTACATATGTAGAAAGTTATGAGTGGATCCCATCCAAGGACAAGAATCTAATGCTCATGGCATTGTCAATGACAGGTATACATTACATAAGAAAACAGCTTAACCCTAAGTGCTAGCAAAATAAATGGTTCCAAAAAAGTAGAAGCTTCTAAATAAGGCAAGGAACAGGATGTTTCAGTAAGAGTCCTGATCTTTTGATCTTGCTTGGAAGATATTGACATATATATCTACAAGGCATGACTTCTTCCTCCACCTTCCACTTAGATGAGGTAGGCTGGACTTCCTGTTTCAGATGTTGGTAGGATACAGAAAGAGGTACTCATGGAACTGTGGTCGGGCTCTTTTCTGCTCTTCATGAGCCACCTGAAGTTACCGCCAGTACGTACGCATGGCAGACTGATAAACTTGATAAACAGTGTCCAGCTTCGTACAAGACTAGGTATACTCTTCACACTTGATCTTAGCTAAAAGGCCGAGAAGCAGTCTAGGTATACACTTGACACTTATGCAAAGAACTATTTGTGTAGTTACTTAAAATGGAATGCACTTCCTGGCATTGGGACTAGGAAGTTTCCTTGGAAACCTACCGGGGCTTGAGAATGTGTGACTTCCATCTAGTCAAACTGAGATATTTCAATATCTGGCTTAACAGTCCTAGACGTATTTGAGATTTATGGAGATTAAAGTTCTAATGGAAAACTAAGATTCTCAGCTAGAGGCGTATGTGTGTGTATGCAGGCCAACCCTGGCTACATCCCTGTTGTAATTACTGGTAGAAGGTTGAACAAGCTTTTTTCTACCTCTTTAATAATATAAAGTTAAATAGAAAATGTGTTTGTATTATCCTATTATGTATTAGTGGTGAGTAGATGTAAGTTTTCTAACAGAAAGTTTAATACTTTTTCAAGTTAAACTTTTTAAAAAAATCATAATTATCCAACATCAGTTCATTTTATCATTAAATAATATTTGTATTTATTCTATCTTGTTGTAGGTTCAAAAAGGTTTACACTAAGATGGAAACATACAGTGTCTCTTTATTAAAATGAAGTATTTACTATCTTAAAGGATTTTGTTTTCCTGAATGTTACAAAAATAAAAATAGGCAAATGTATTGTGTGTTCCAACTCACCACTAGAACAAAACACTCTATCACCATGGTAAAATAACACACAGGATGCACACACACACACTATATGTGCCTGCACACACCCTTAAGTCATAAGACAGAAACACATCATTTTCATACTTCCACTTCAGATTTCTTTTAAAAGCCTCAATGTGCACATACCTTCATCCATGCCATTAAGGATTTCATTCAGTTCATCTTCAGTGTATTCACAGAAATGCTCTTTCCAGCTGTCTCCATTCTCACTGCGCAGGACAACCAGCTCCCTCTCTTTTCCTCGCAGGGCCGCAAAGTGAGGGATCTCCACGATCACAGGCCTGACACGGTAACGCAGAACGTTTAGTGTGGACAGGAGCTGACCAATGGCAGGACAAGCACCTCCACGTGGTCTGTTGCAAAGTGACCTGGAATTCTTCACTTTCTAGGGACAGGGACATGGTGGGCTGCCCTCCAGAGCCCATTAGCTAGCAGAGGGTCGCACAGTGGCACTCCACCTCAGGAGCACCAATCCTCAGGTACATGCTGCTACTTTAAGCCAAATGATGTTTCCCTCTGAGTGCATGTGGCATTCTGGAACTTCTCCTTTGATAAATGTCAGTAGAACACATTTAACCAAAAGAAATGTACATGCATGTCTACAATGTGCGCCAATCTCCTAAAACATTTTCTACAAGGTGCAAAACAACAAAGTGGTCTAGGAGGAAAAATGGCTCATACATCACATAATTTGATGTGCTGTAAATGAGATGTCAGAAAAGTGGACTATTTGTGCTAAAGAGCCATGCACTCATGGTTTTGCTTACATCTTCTTCATTCAAGGAAACAATAGGCATGTGTACACAATGTGGCCCTAATTGAGCCCGACAGCTGACAGCCCAGTTGTGTCCAATGCCTATTATATTCAGAATCCAGAACATGCACCATCCTACTATTTTTAGGTCACATCCATCCTTCACATACATAGAGATTTTCAATTTTGGGTCCAGGTTGCTTTGATACAGACTCCAAATTCATCATCACAACAGGTAACTAGCACATAGTACAACTAGGCAGATCTCATGCTTAAACGAAAATGAAGGTCACAGCACTTTAAGGGAAAAGATATAAAAACATCACTCAAAAATAAAAGTCACATACCACAAGGGTCAGAAATGGTCCACTAGAGATAGGTTATACAGAATTTAAATCATAGAGAGGGACATGTCATGGGCACAATGACAAAAAGAGAAATCATATTGCAGAAGAAGGAGAAGAATGGGGGGCCAGCAGCCATCAATTTGTTTTAAGTCACTCCTACCCAAGGAATTTGGTTCCAGGAGGCCCCAGCTGAAGGATGCGGCTGACCAAACTTTCTCCCTCATTAAGTGGGGGAGGAGCCGTTGGCAGGTGAAGTTTACTGAGTACATCCAAAGCAGCAGTGAAAGAAAGAACAAAAGTAAGCTTCAGGTATTGTTTTCCACAGAACCCCAGCGTCACCAGCTGATCCACAGGGTGAACTTTGGTTTCACACTGCGTTTGGTTCTGCCCCCTCCATTGGTCACAAAGAGCGAGGAAGCGAGACCCAGAGTGGACAATGGAGGCATGTCTGTGCAAGGAGAGCACTTGGCTGTCACAGCTGTCCCTATTTAGTTCACCGCCAGGGCACTTGCCAAAAAGGAAAAAATATATATAAGCTGTTGGGAATATAATGAAAACGCTGCTCAGTACAGAGGCTGGATGTTTTCATGGATATTCCCCAGTAGATTGGAAAATTATATAAAAGGCCTAAAACTTCCTGAGCATGAGGAAAAAAGGGTCTGATACAGAACAGGAGAGGAATCATCAAAGAACTATTCCAACCATCCTAGCATTTTCTGATGCAACCCAAAACTTCACAGGCTCCTTCTACTCTGTTCTGCCTGAGAGGAGGACATGGGAGGTGGTTTCTCTAATGGGGAAATACACACACACACACACCTTTCTTCAGGTGTGACAGCAATTTGGAGCAACTTGTTACTTGTTTGCTTCAAATTACAGGCTTTAGAACATTCCCTGAGTTCTAAAGGAAGCAATCCTTGCCCCAGTCTGACACTGACAACGTAAAATAATCATGACTAATAAAGTAGGTTTCCCAGTTTTTCCAGGACCAAGACTTGATATGACAAGACTTAAATACAATTGATTTGTTTCAAAATGTTTTGAAACCCGTTCCGCTCCGAAACTTCATCCTTTTGTCAGTTTTCAGAGGTCGCTATTCATTTCTTGGCACCTTGAGATGCCACTTAATATAATAGCAGCCACACAAACAAACAGAAGGAAGAAGAAAAAGCGGATTTCTGCTCAAAATTGCTAAGAAGAGCACAGCAGAGGTTCATCTTGATATTTTCATCTTAATGCAAACTGTAACTCAACACTGCCAGTATAATTTTAAGGCTCATGGTAGCAATTTTGATGACAGAAAAAACAAATCACATAGACCAAGTTTTTCGAGATTCCATAAAGGCAACACTATTTTCCAAAGTGAAGATAATGATTCTGTTTCACAGGAGACTGTATACTTGTGTTTGGTATAGAGCAGTATTTTTTCTTTATGACTTTACAACTTAAGTGTCAGATGAGAAAAAGATACCTACCACCAGCTAAATAAGGTTATTCATATTGGGAGTCTGGCATCTATTGATACAGCCACAGGAAGAATAATGATCAACCTGGATGTTTAACTCATTAATGCCTTAAAAAAAAGAGGCATGTAAGTGGAGTCAAACATCAAGGTGTTATTCTCAACTTTTAAAAATTTCACGGTAGCCAATCTTCTTTCAAAAGCCTTTGACGTACCTTTTTGCATCCCATCCTAGTGATGTCATGTGGAGCACACTAGCTCATCGGTGACTAAGTGGGAGGCTTATCAGAAACCCTTACCCAAGGAACTGAGCACCAGAGGGTCCAACTTCGATCAGGCGACTGGCCAGGCCTTCTCCTTCCACCATTGGGGGCATTGTTGCCAGTCTATGGCGCTTGACCAGTCGGCAGGTGACTCGTGTTGGGGCGGTGCATTTTCGAGGTGGAATAATGATTCGGAGCCCGTTGTGTCTGCAGCCTCGCATAGCGCCACCTCGGGCATCCACCATAAAACTAACCAGGAAACTAAAAATTGAAACAGAAGATTAGATAGGTTCTGAAGTACTGGAGGGAGATAAACAAGCTTTGTCAAGTTAGTATTTTCCAAAATGCTTTGTTCTCTAGACATCTTTTCATTTAAATGCATGGTGATAAAACATGTGTTTTCAAGTTATTTTACTTACACCAATGCCTTTACTTCTGTTTTGTTGCTGTTTTAATTTTTGCATTATTTCATCTGTAACTCAAGAAGAATTCTAATTCTAGTTGACAATGGTATTATTAAATATAAACTATAAATTAGGAATATGTTCAACTGAATTTTAAAGAAAGTAGAGTGAAATTATATAAAGAGAAGTGACATATCTTTTGTTGTAAATAAGGAGATATTTTTTATATTTATGTCCTAAAAAATCTACCTGTTGATGTAGTATCAGGATAAAGATGAGAATGACAAAATTGCAATTTATCTAAATTCAACTTGACTTCTCAAATTTATATCTTGTTCAGCTCATTTTAAAATGATTCTATGACTTAAAAAATTCCAAAGGCCTCTCTCAAGATCAGATCCATGATATGGATCCTGCTTCAATATCATCTTACCCAGGATGCAGGATTTAACAGATTTTCTAAAAAAGAAGCAAGGCAGAATAAATAAATGCTTTGAATAGAACCATTTTTTGGTTAAAATGCCATCCCACTCTAACTGAAACAAAAAGTGGGTAGGTTGGGAAACAAGTGGGGTCCTCTCCATTCTTTTTTTGAAGTGAAATTTCAGGAGTAGGAACCCTTCAACTCATGCTAATAGAGGATATTATTTACACCAAATTATAATAAATTAAACATGGAATATCACAGGTAATAATTTAGAAATATAAAGGCATTTATTATTTTTACTCCTTTTTTCTGCTAAACTAATTGTTCAAAAAAAGGAGAATTATTAGCGAAGGTAATGGTTTTTTTATTCTAGGATCACCAAGAGAAAGTGTTTGTCTCAACTTTGAAGTTGATTCCTTTGGGATGATCTTAACAGGTGTAGATCCAACTTTGTTTGAATACATGCCATTTGTTAGTCATCACACTCATCAAAGTCCCTCAGGCAGTCACTTTGTCAAGGTGCAAAAGCTAAGCAACATGACAATCTATGGTGCACATACACACAGAGACACATATAAACAGTATGTACATTCCTGCACAGACTGCAGTCATGTCCTTTCCCATCTTCATTGGATTGGCAAGATCTTTACGCCAAAATGGAAAGAGGAAAGTGACACATAGGTGTATTCTGGATCTACTTATAACCTAAGAAGACCAGAACCATACCAGATTCACCACACCTATATTTTGGCCATGACAACATTTAAAACATTTGAAAGGTATCTTATCAAAGTCAATTATGGGATAGAAACACATTACATTATGTTATTTTTAGACAAACAAAAAACATCTTTAGCATCTTCTTATTGTACAACACAGGACTTAATAAACATGCTATTAAACAGAATCCTTAGTAATAAAATACTAGTAATACACATGGGTACAAAAAGGCCCAGCGTGCCTGTCTGAAGTTCATTATATAAGATGAGACCACAAGAAGAGGAGCCACAGTCCTTCCCTCATGCAGTCAGCGTCCAAGCTGGTCCTGCCGTTCACGCCTAGCTCTCTGTTTTCAGGAAGGGGTAAAAACTGGAGAGTGCAATCAATAGTTCACCACAGAAGCATTGATGTTTCTCATCTTTATCGAAACACAATGAGAAAGTGTTGGCTGCTTTTCTTATTTCTAGGCTTTAATAAGGATTCTTAAAAAACTTTTTGAGTTTTTAATACTCTATTGCCCAAAAGAATGAAAGAACTAGTAACACTTTAAGATGGATATAAAGATTTCCTTTCCATTTTATTATTCTTTCTTGAGGATGATGTTTATGTTGATTTTTTAAAAGTGGAAAAAGTCTACTTAAGTTTTCAATCATGCCACAAAAGTCATTGTAATATTTCTCACTCATTGATAATTAAGATGAACATTTCCTTTGTTTCTTTAATCCTTTAATTCCTACTCCCATTGAACAGAACAGGGCTCAAACTAGCAGAAAATTATTATAATACACCTGCTTCAAGCTATCAATCCTCAATCTGCTTGTTATTTTTGAAGGCATTTAAGAAGTTTCCACACTCATGATGCATGCTGCTACATTTCCAAAATATTTATTCCAGTGGCAGCTTGTGGCTTAGATAAAATCAAGCCTCCATTTAGAAGAACATGTAGAAGATCTTTTGGTGGTCCTTTCTACAGAGGCACATCATGAAGTAGCTATGTTCTCAATTGTAACCATGTTTAAGTAGCTACTTGTTAGATTACTTTCCCAGTCTGTTCTTTCAAAGCCCTGCTTTTGTTCTCACTTGCTCCATGATTTCCATTCCCATATAACATCTGTCACCCACCTATTAAGTGCCAGGTGCCCCATAGGGAACTGAGAATATAGAAAATTAAGACACAGTTGCTGCTGTCAACAACTTCATAGTCTACATCTCACATGTCACAGATGGTTTCATTGTTTCCTGAACTGCTTACCTTCCTGGTCAGTGAGAAACCAACTATAACCACTTACAGGTACCATCTACATGCCATACTGGCAGTGACCATGTTTTCAATTATTTCTTCCTTTGTCTCCTAGAGCTGGCACAGTGAAGATGCAGCACATAGTAGGTAGACAATAAATAATTGCTAAATAGGTAAGTGAAGGAAAAAGTTTAATGGGCAAGTTGTGAGAAGTTATATGTACTTATGTCTAAAAGAGAAGTTAAAGTATCAGGTAACTTAATTCTTTGTTCTCTGGACAATCAGTCCAGTCAGAACTCATTCAAATCACCCCATTCAGATGAGCAGAGCATTTGGGAAAGACTTTCATTAATGTCAAGTAGTCTTCAAAGACCTACTCCTGTTCTACAATGATAGATTGATTTCCTTTAATAGAGATTTAGTAGAAAATGGGAGTAAGAAAAAAACCATGAGCTTGAATCTAACAAAATAAACAGTTTTATTAGAAGTGTAAATCATCTGAAGAAAAATCAAAGATGGGGAAATCAAATTAAAAGTAGTTAAAGACTGAAGCTGGAAGTTGCAAATCTATGTCCAAGTGTGTCTATGGTCTATATAATTACAGATAAGTAAGCCAACAAAATACAACACAAATTGCAAAAATTAAGATGTCAATAAAAATTATTCTGAAGAAAAAATTACATGTCTAAAGAAAACTAGCCTTTGTGTTTTTATCAACTAAAGGAAGTATCATAAACAATAAAATGACAAGCTCTAGCCAGGAAATGTTCTTTAGAAAAAGAAGTAAGTGAAATGGAAAGGTATCAAGAAAGAAAAAAAAAAAAAGATCAGGGGACATGAAAGAGCTAAATATCAATAGTCAAAATGAATTAAAATGTTTATAAACCTAGCAAGAAAACATTCTGAACAAATCAGACTCAGGTAATGTCACTGCCAAGTAACCCATACAAATGCTGTATTTTTGGAACTACACACTAAATGAAGTATTTTCTTTAAGTCAGAAGGAATAAGAGAAATAATGATTCATTTATGGCTAGGTGCTGATGAAAAGTCTATTGATAAAAAAATGCTAACTTAATTAATTTCAATTTGTTTAAAATATAGAATTGGGTGATGATCTGAATATTTTCTTAAAAAAAAACAAAATATCAAAAAGTGTCACTATTTGGATAGGTAGTAGAAACAGGCATGAGTTATTCTGGGGTGTACAAAACAATGGCAAAAAAATTTGCAAGAGACATTTTACTTTTGTATACCATAGGAAAGAGCGGAAGGTTGGAAGGTATGAGTCAGCACACATACTGGAGTCAAGTGAATAAGTATGATTTTGTTCATATTTTCAGGAGATTGAAAATGGTATAAGATATAGCCTGTAAACATTTGGAGATGAAAAGAATTAAAGTTAAAATACATAATTAGAGTCGTATACAGGAGATCCTATGTGGATTGAAGTTCAGTTCTACTCTCTGTGAACTTTAACCCTGAAGCCTCACCTGTCAATGAGGGATAATCCTATTACAGGTAACAGGATGTGGTGAGAATTAACTCATGTGTGAATAAAGCATATAGGATTCAAAGAATGGTTGTTCCTATCATTTTCCTTTTCTTATAAGATTTTATGTTTTGAATGTATTCAGAATTTATAAAATAGTATAATGTATTACCTAAAACAATATGTGCAGAAATTAACATCTATTGAATACTGAAATAAGCCTGGAACTATGCCACATAGTTTAATATGATGTTGGAGTTTTTATTGGTTTATGAAATGTATAATTTACATAAGATATATAAAAATTCTATTATCACAGAGCATAATATAATAGATCAAGCACTGGGTCTAGTTCTGTCTGTCTTGAGTTGTTGCTGAAACCACAGCATATCACTTAACATCTTTAAGTTTCAGTTTTCTCCTCCATAAAATAAAACAAACTCTAAGTTGCCTTCCAGTATTCAAATTTTATGAGTAGCTTATTGTTAACTGGGATAGGAAACCTACTTAAATGTTTGATTTCAGATGTTCTGGAAGAAATCCTAATTGAAAAATAAACTGCTATTACTCTAAAAAATATATATTGTCTTTCCTCCATGGTTAAAGCAGCTATTTTGCAGAAAATAGTACACACATGGCACTAACATTGACTTCAGACATTACAGACAAAAAAAAATATGATAAAACACATTGGGCTTCTTTAATTACATATCTTACTCTTCAAATGAAAGTCAGCAACCATGCAAAGTAGAAACTCTTACTGAAATTTTCTAAATTGTGAGATACAATGTTATCACAATTTAAAAGATTAAAAGCAAAAGCAATTCACCATTATTATGCAGCTGACTTGCCTATAAGTACACAATTTGATTAGCTAAACAGGAACATGCTTCAGAGGAGGCAACAGAAAACATGATTGGGTCTTTGGAGACAACACCCTCTACCCCAAGGTTACTCATCCTTAGTTTTAATTCATCCAGGACCATGGGGTGGGGGAAGGGAGGAGGTTGCAGCATTCAGTTAGTTACTGGGAGGAAGAACAGGAAAACAAGATCATCAGGGTGCTTCAGTGATCCAAATATTCATAGCAAGAGGAACTCCAATTCAATCTGATTTCTGAGGTACAGTGAGAACACCCCACCATGAGCTCTTTTTCTCCTCTATAAGCCCTAATCCCTTCCAAGTCCTCCAAATTTTATCAATGGAAAATGGTTTTGAAAAGGTACTTCAAGGCCTGGTGCTGTGGCCTAGCAGGTAAAGCCATTGCCTGCAGCGCCAGTGTCCCATATGGGCGCTGGTTCCAGTCCAGGCTGCTCCACTTCTGATCTAGCTCTTTGCAAATGCGCCAGGGAAAGCAGTGGAAGATGGCCCAAGTGCTTGGGCCCCTGTGCACATGTGGGAGACCTGGAGGAAGCTCCTGGCTCCTGGCTTTAGATCAACCCAGCTCCAGGCATTGCGGCCATATGGGAAGCGAACCAGTAGATGGAAGGTTTCTCTCTCTCTGCCTCTGCCTCTCCTTCTCTGTAGTTCTGCCTTTCAAATAAATAAAATAATCTTTTAAAAAATTCTTAAAAAGAAAAGGTGCTTCAAATGTGTTAAAATCATCAACCGTTACTTATTAATCATGGTATTTATGTGTGAGAAAAAGTAAAAGGATGGAAATTAAAGGTTTAAAGAAGAAAAATATCAAACTGACTGGTTTGTAGATTGATAATGTATACTCTCATAACAAATGACTACAGAATAAAAAAACTATAACAAGCAGTCTACTAGGAGCCTTTAAAAATAACTTTATCTAAACAACAGGATAATGACTATTTTTAGACCACTGACTAAAGGGTCATCCTATAGCACAGTTTTCGAAATATCAAAAGGTTGCAATTAAAGCAGTATTAGCAAGAAAATGCGCTAATAATAAACTTTCAGCCTTTGGCTCACCTAGAATATGGTTTTTTTAAAAAAGCAAAACACTAAATGCCACTAAAAATCATAGCCTTTAATAAAAGTTTAAAATAGCCAATCTGCATAATTGTGGGGAACAACATTTTTTCAGCTCTATGTAGCACTTTGTCTTATAAAAGAAGCTGAGATGTGGAGACCCAAGCCCAAGACAGGCAGTCCACATGAATTTTGCCACAGCCCCACCTAATTTCCACTGAAATTAAAAATACCCACTTTCTCTTCACCACAGAGAAAGGAGAGCTCAGCCACAGCCATGATTTGTAGTGCGTACAGATGTTGGGATAGGTATCTTCAACACTAAAGCATCCTGAAGTGGAGTATATGCGGAAGGAGATGGCAAAAGGGGAGAGGAATAGGCAATATGATGAGAGAAGGAATATGCAGAAGTTCACCTGCTGTTGTCACGATCAAGACATGGAGAGGTGCGGCTGCAACAGAATAGATACTTTAGCACAGAGAAGGAATGGATAAAGTGAAATCTACAGAATGAAATCAGAAATGATGCTCAACTGAAATATATAATTTATATACCAATACAATATTCAGTGAAAAAAAAGATGGAAAATACAAATGAGAAACAGCTCTATGCAAATGCTGAGAGAAGAACAAGCTATGGGGTCTTTGTGGTAACTTCCAGATTTGGGGCTGTTATAAAATCCCTGGATATGAATTTGTAGGCTTATTCAACAATTGCTTTGGGGGTCATTTAACAAAGTCTCCGTATCTAAGAAGCTACAAAACATAAAGGCAATTGTAATGGAAAATAAAGTCTTTTGATTTGATGGATGTAGTTTTACCTCAAAAGCTTTTCATTCATACTTTTAATACTTTAAATGCCCTTTTGGGCTACCACAAAAGAAATCCAAACAGAAAAGGCACAATTTAAAGTATAGCTTCAATAACAAACAGTAGCATAAACCATAAGACAGAGTAGGTAATATTAATTACCTACTAGTTGGTAACAACAACAAAACACTCTGCAAACAAAGTCTTAGAGCTTTCCTTCTATGCTTTGCAGAATGCGATTCTTCTCATTGGTCCTATCGTCTAATCCTAACCTTCACTCTTTGACTTAGGGGGCTACCTTTCCTTCAGACCCTCATGTTTTCATTTGATTCACTTGTGTTTTCAACATCTAATGACACACAAAAGTGCACATGTTCAATGGGCCAGAAATCCAACCGAACAAAACCAGTTGCATTGCTACTTGCTTTAAAATGATTTTCTTCATTCAGAAGAATTTGCCTTCAAGTATCTAAAGAAACTCTAGGGTGTTAATGAAATACACGAACAACTAAATTAATGGCAATATATACTTATATGAACATATATGCTGCCCAGTGAGAAACAGCCTTCCTTCCATTTCAAATATTCTATTATTTGATTAAATATATTCAACTTGTTTTTTTGAAACCCTTTTTTATTTTTTTGAAGCAGTTTGAAGTTCAAGGCAAAGTGGTCTTCAATATGTCTTCAAGAAAGAAAGTTTTTGAAAAAACAATCACCTTGCAGACTTCATGCTAGTGTAGTATCTTGTAGTATAACATAAGCAATTGATATTTAATTACTGGCTCTTGGCTGTCATAAAAACACTACAAAAGTAAAGACTTTTAAAACAACAGTATTTAAAATGAGTTACAAAATGAACTATTGGTAGGAATGTTGCCCTTGATCTGCTAATTCATTATGTATTTATGAAATGAAAAAGAAATATAAAATTCAACTTCTTGTCCAAGCTTATACTGATGTGCCTATAACTGGGAATCTAACTACTAGTTAGATTCATTGTCAATCAGTAAGTCAACTTTCCAAAAAAATAACAAAAGATTACTATCTATGTTTCTTTTGCCAGATTTTGAGCAGGCTTTTTAAAATCATTGATTGCTTTAAAATCATTCATTGATTCTCTAGAGACTGACATTAGTCCTTGGAAATGGAGAGTGGAGGTAATATCAAATCATCAATACTGCTGGCTGTTAGAAGCTGTGTCTTCTACTCACCTGAAATCCCTTTGTTAAATTTCATAAAGCATCTTACACACAAATTACTGGCATGTGCATAAACAGCTAGCTCTATTATTTGCTTTATTAAAAAATTCTTTTTTCTTACATTTTGGGCAGATTTTGAAGTGGTTTAAGGATTCACCCAATTAATTAAAAAAAATTCAGCTCCTTGAAAATATATGAAAATCTACTGTTCAGGGACCTGGTATATAACCAATAAAATTACAAGAAATCACTGATACATAAAACAATATAATGAATGTTACATATATATATATAATATATGTATATATATATCATGATGGCTTTCAAATATCATGAAACTCAGATTCATTAGGCTTTCCATGGTAATTACTATTAGAACCACTGTGTTTGTTCAAAATTTCAAAGATGACAAATTAACTGATAAAAATAGTAAGTTAAAAAAAGTCACTATTATAAATTGAATCACATTGGTATTGTCATTTAGAGGATTTATAATACCTTTTGCTTAACTGATTGACAATTTGTGAAACTTTGGAACATGTATATGGGGACTGTATCAATTCAGGATTAATGGCTATAATCTATTGAGTACTTATTCTTTCCAAGAGAAGTGCTAATTATTTAATAGACATTTAATTCTTTAAACTCCCCCCAGTATCAATAATGTAACACTCATCTAACAGGTAAGTAAACTGAAACTCAGAAATCTTATATAAATTTTTGCCCAATATCACACTTTTGAGTGTCAGTGTCAGATCTCCATTCAGACCCATTTTACTTCAAAGGACACTCTTAGCCATCATGTTTCTCTTCCACAAAGTGTCATTCAACTTCAAACAACAACACACAGATATGTTTCTTAAAAGTAGCAGGTAGGTCTGTCTTAACTATTTTCCTTGGCTTCTGGCCTAGCGCCTGGTACTCTGAAGAATTTAACAAATGTGTGAAGAATACACACATAAGTGAATGGAAGAAATAAATGATATATGAGAAAACTGAGCATTCATTAATAAATGGGGTATCTTTAACAGTCAAGTTTTACTAAGCAAAGTGTTTCCTTTCTAATATTTTATATAAAAACATCTGGACTGTTGGCTCTTGTAAAAAATATCAATGTTTGGGCCCTGACAATTATGTCAGTCAGACCTAATTGGTCTAGGATGAGGACTGGACATCAGTATTTTTAAAGCTCAGAGCTGATCATAATGTACAGTAGACTCCATATTAAATGTTTGAAATTGATAGAAAAATTAATTTATTGGAGACTCTGGTCTTAAAGATCCTTAACATGTGACTAACTTTTAACCACTGGGTGCTGTTGGTTCATTGTAGTAATAAGTCATTATTATTTATAGGTGTACCTAGTTTTATACAATTTTTGTGTATATCGCTATACTTAAACTGAGTACTTTACTGCCCTTCAGCAGTTAAATAACTTCTTTAAGGATTTTTTTAATGTAAATTATTTATTTGGAAGACTGAAGGCTTACCACAATCTTGATTTATTATAAATTAACTTATTAATAGCTAACAGCATCTTGTGAAAAATAATCTTGTGACTTTGTAGGCTCAATATAGACTTTAAATATTTCATTATGATTTCTAGATTCTTACACATAGGAAATCTGGTAGAAAAATATAATATCATGTTTTTAAATAATTTATTACTGTGTAAATTTTATTTACCTCATTTTGTATTTAAAACAGATTTGGATGAGGTTTGATTCATCTTTGTATTCCCCAAAACAAATCATATAATTAGGAATGAATTTTTACTTCACAAGGAAAAGAGTATCATGATTATTTTAAATATCTATATAACTAATTTTATATTCTATGTCTTTTTTGGTATTAGTTTAGATGAAGAATTCCAGAATGTTTAGCTAAAATATCCTGGAATGTGTTCCTGAGAGATTACTTTAGAATAATAAAAATAAGAAAGGGTCTCCCATTCAAAATAGCTCTGGGGATTATTGACAAGGAGCTTGAGATAATATTTGAAAACAACATATCACACTTCATTAGGAGAAATATGAGTAGGGCTTTTTAAACTGTGCTTATAACAAAAATATGGGGACTTGATATATAATTATGACATTATTATATTATTTGAATGGAATAAAATGTAAAGAGATAGCTTATTGAAAAACTGTGATAATTCAAAACTCCTGTAAGCAATTTATATTGCACATAACTGACTTCTTATACTTTATATGATCTGGATGACCTGATGAAGGTAACTGAGAACCTGACTGGTTGCATTTAACTCTTTTTCATTTTCTATCTCTGCTTCAAAGACCGTAGGAACTCCTCTATACATGTGTGTGATACAGACTTCTGTAAACATCATCTTGGAATACATTAATACATGAAAAAAAGCATTTATTCTGAAGAATCCATCAGATAATCTTCACCAATAGAAACTCTCCAGAAAGCCTCTTGACATAGCCCTTTCCTTTTAAGATGTCTTAGAGAAAACACGTGAACAGTAAGGAGGCCACCAGTAGATTCTGGTTAGTGAGCAAGCTATTTGATGCAATTCTACTAGTTATTTTGAAACAATAGTCAGTCTTTTATGCTGAATTCATTGCTTTTTGCTGCCTTGTTTGTGTGGATAGAGTCCATGTTGGATAAAGCAATGTTATTTACATGTTTAAACAAAGGTTGCCTCCAACATAAGCCATCAGCTCAAGCTGCTGGACAAAGCTGTTATTTGCACTCCCATCTCATTTTACCTCTTGATCTTGATACATAATATTGATTTACTCACCCTGAATGAATAGGGCTTGAAGAAAGAGCCACGTTGTCTAGGTTCTCAGTGCCCCAGCTTAGACGATAAGAATTCCTTTCTGCCTCCTTGGCTAGAGTTGACACCTACATACAAAGAACACTGGATGTAATAAAAATATTTTGCTTCAATTAAAATCAAATATGATGAAGTCTCAAAAGTGGCATCACAGGAAGATGGTACTAACTGGAATAATTTTCCTTAAAAATATAAAACCAGTGCATTTAAAATGGAACTCTTATAATGCATTCCATTTTAAATTATATTAGTGATAGTAGATCACATTAGTGTAATTGTCTTTGAAGAGTGGATTCCATCTATTTCCTTATAGCCAACCCACCAAAAGTGATAAAATCAAATCTAAAGTTAAACTATTCCAGAGTATACTTTGTCTTTTCTTGTAGCTAACAGTTTTAAATACTGATATTTTAACACATACCATTAAACTTATGCCTTAAATGCTTATAAACCACCCCCCTTTTCCTTTAATAGAGAGTAAAGTTAAAAAAAAAAATCTTTACACAAAACCTCCATGGAAGAATTCGGTAAGGCTAAAGAAAGAAGCAATATATTATTTCAGAAACATTCTGCTCATTGAGTAATATAATGAACAGTTTCCATGTTTTAAGAAACCCTCAAATCTTTTATTCCAGCTTGTCAACTGAATTCAGGATTTTTCATTTATATTAAAAACTCTTGGCAGGATGTTTCTAGCATCACACAACACTTAAAATCTCTCCAGAAAGCAAAGACATACAGGCAAAAATGCACGTACCTGGTGACTGGGGATCACAACTGTGTCATCAATCATGGCACTGTCCCTCAGGTAGGAGGCATGGCTCAGAGTGTGAGACCTGTCGGAACTGAAGGATCGAAGGCTGGTAGGTTGGCAGGAGGCCATGGTCATATAGCAACAGCAGGAGTAGGTTTGGGAGGATGAAATGGTGACCCGAGCAGGAGAGTAAAAAAGCGTGCTGTTAGCCAACAGTGCAACTTCCAGGGGGACACAGGTGTCTGTGTTGCCCTACCTCTCTGTCCAGCAGCTAAACTAACACATCCTTTGACTGGTTTCTACCACTCAATGACAAGGGCACAAGGGAATCCAAAAGTTAAAATTTGATACTTCTAATCTGATTCATTTTCTTCCCAGAAAGATTGAAACCAGCAACTGTAGTTTACTTACTGCCAGTACAAGAAATTCACACAGGAAATAATTCCAGCATAGATTGCTTAAATCTACGCTAAATGTTAATCTCCCTGCAAGTCAGAAAAAAAGTCAAGGGAGAGCAGACAGCCCTCTGAGAGCAGAACAAAATGAAAGTGCAGGTTTCGTTTTCACTCATTCTTTTCCATCCTCTCCATGCCTCTTTTTCCTCTTCTCTAAGCCTGCCAGTGACTGAAAGTTGGTGCATTCCCCTGGAAGGTACAGAGTGAAATGGACTGTGGCCAGATGCATGCTTCCTGCGGAAGTACGGTTCCTCTGTGTGTGGACTCCAACAATGCTATTATTCCAAAGAAGAGCACTGTCCCTTTGTGTGTCCGGTGTGTGGTGAGTGAAGCACCAAGAGTGTTGGTTGCTGCGGTGATGAGATGCAAGAGCACAAGAAACCGTTTCTAAGCACCAGCCCAGAACACAGACACACTTGCAGCACAAAGACAAACTGCCAACAGACACTGACCAAACGAGCTTTGGTTCAAAATCAGATTTAGGCCTTTGTGATCAGTGTTTTACATTTTTGATAAATTTGAATTCGAAAGTTCTGAGTTATATATTAAAATGTGATGGGTAATTGACATTTGCTTAGATGTAATTTCATTTCTTCTTTGTGCAATCAAATGGCAGATTAATATCTTAAATAATGTATCTTACATAGTGTAATCTATACATATTATTCCAAGAATTAAAAAATCACATTCAAAATATTAGCCCAAAGCCCAAAGGCAAAAAAAAAAAAGGAGAGAAATGCAAGCTCTCACAATAAAAGAAATAAATTTTCATTTGCTTTTACCCATTAGGTATTTGGCCAGTGAAACACTATAGAATTATGGACTAAGTGTCAATTTAGCACATTTATTAGTAGAAACTAGTTTTATTTTCTGAATATTTGCAATTTTGTAAGCCATACACTATCATCTTTATGAGCTGTCAATATAGCCAACTTCAATTATCTTTGAGGAAATCATCCCTTTGGAGATTAGTCCTACTAATCCAGGGCCTTCTCCTTTCTATTTTTCAGGTAGATTTATGCCAAAGAAAAGAGATCGCCAGTCTTAGAGAGTAAGTGACGTGACTTAAAGGAATTGATTGTCTGATCCTATGTGTTTTTAATAAGATGAATATAATTTGGGGATTAGTTAGTGGCTATCTAGGCTCTTGGAAAAGATCGAGGCTCCTGACACCATCAGGGCAGGAGGAGGCTGAATACTTCAGCAAATTCATCAGCAGGAGATTTAGCCCTAGCAGCTTATATTATGGCCAGTTATATAGTTGATTTTTGATGGTGTACTTCATAAACAGACTACAGGCTGTTGTGACGAATATTGATTTGACCTTAATTTTGAGACTGAGATAGAAATTAAATTATTAGGACTCAGAGTGGGTGTTTGGCCTGCTGGCTAGATGTGGGTTAAAACCTATGTATCATATAGCAAAGTGGGGGTTCTATTCTCAGTTGTGGCTCTTGAGCACAGTTTCCTACTTGAGTATGACACTGGAAGGCAGCATTAATTCTTAAGTTATTGTGTTCCTGTCACTCACACAGAAGACATGGATTATGTTCCAAAGCTCCCAGCTTTGTCCTGGCTCTACCTCAGCCATTGAGGCATTTGGAAAATGAGTCAGAGGATGGAAGCTCTCTCTATCTGTCTTTCCCACTCACTGCCTTTCAAATAAACAAATATTTAAAAATCATCAGGACTAGAAATTTAGCTTGAATGGGAACAAACTGAATGGTATATAAAACCTCAAGTAAAACAGAGTGATGCAAATGTCTCAACTTTGAAAGAAGATATCACTCTCTCAATTACATCTCTCAAGGTCTGACGATGACCAGATGGACTAGTCTGTCTGCTTCAGGAATGTGTTACTGATGGGCCTATTGCTGCAATCAGAACACCAGCAATAAAGGTGGATTTTTTATTTCTATCTACCTGATTCTTGGGTCTTTCTTAAATCCCCAGTAGGAATGAAACAGAGGGGACAGAAGGAAAGAAAGGGATAAAGTGACACACAAGCTCAAAAAGGTGAATAGAGTAAAAGGGAAAATATCAGAATATATAGACAGAGAAGGAGAAAAGTTGGAGAAAGAGGGATGGGAAAAGAATGTCAGAAACCTACATCTAAGTACAGCATTCCATGGATTTTATTCCAGTTCACTTGGTGAGCTGCCTTCTGAAATTCTACTTGGTTATTTACCCAATTATATATTACTATAATTATATATGTGTGTATATATAACTTATAGTTTCTAATTGCTTTTTAAATATGTGATAGAAACTACCTGCATGAAACAATATAGTTAGAGTACTCTAACAGTAGTGAATTAATCTATCTGACCAAATAATAACTAGCACAAAGGTCTACAATAATTCAAATCCCTGGATCAGACATTGTTCACCCTGATTTAAATTATTACATATATGTTTAAATATTTTGCAATAGGGTTGCCATTTTTCTCACTGGGAGAAGTCTTCATGTTCAGTTAATATATTTATAGTAACATATTTATAGAAGCATACATTTTTATTGCAGATCAACCAAAGAACTGTCTGCTGTAGGTGCCAGAAGTATTGTTATGTTCTTAATTTATGCTTTTCCCACTATGATACAACAGCTTTATGTATACATATTAGTATGAAAGTATAATTTCATTGAAAAGTATCATAATTGCTATCTTATTAAATGGCAATATTTATTAGACATTCACTTAATGGAGTTGAAAGCCTTATTGAGCAAGTAGATATTAAAAAATATCAATATGTTAGCCTTAAAAATGGAGACACTTTTGTGGCTTATTATTATTTAGTGTTTTATATTGAATATGGGCAGATTTTTTGATTTGTGAATAATAAAATTATTTAATTATTTTTTCTATGGTCTCCAACTACACACCAAGTAGGTTTGTTTAGGGGAAGCCATGGTAATTTTGATTCACCACAAGGTGGAGCTGTGACAACTGAAACAAAATCTTGCCTGGGTCATGTCATTGACTTTCATTCTAGGAATATGTTCATATCTTCTAGCTCTAATAGTTACTGAATTTAGTATAGAAAAATCCTAATTTTGGAATAAATCCATAATTCTAGAATATAAGCACCCCCCCGCCAACATACACGCACACATGAGCAGTGAGCAGGGAAATGTGAATGTATCCAGGAAGCTCATATTTTCATGCTCTATAATACCTACCTGGGCATGGTACTATTGAAAGCATACCAAATAAAGAAATAATGAAAAGGAAACATGGTTACTGAAAAAACATAGCCTATTTTGAATTGCCTAAGCAAAATAAAAATAAAAATGTAAATAAAAACATGAAAATGAGATGTTGCCTGTAATTCTATTTTGGAGATGGTGAATTTCTCTGGTGCTCTAGAAATGAGTGTGGGCCTGGAGATGACAGCATGCCTTGTTTGTTTCATGTCCCTAGTCTTTACCTGCTGATATCTTCAATTTAAGTAGAAGAATGAAACCATTCCTCCAACCCCCTGTCTTATAGGAAGTATTCTAAATTCTTTCTCTACCTAAGTATTTTTAAAGAAGGAAAATGAATCAAATCAAGCATCTGTTCTTAATAAAAGAGATAATGTTTAAAAATGACCATAATATGACAATCAATATATTATTATGATTCATAAGTAATAAATATTTCATTTAATTAAAATTTGAAGTCTTTCAAGAACTTTAGAATACAAAGTCCAGGTCTATTAATGTATCACAACTCATTAAATGAAACACTGACCTGTCATGTCTGTTCCCACCTCTCTAGGGTCTCAATCCTTCTGTATCCTGACCAAGGGTCACCTTCGATCTAAGTCAATGAAGCCAAAGAATCAACTTCCTCCCTCTTCTTTATCCACCTTATGAAATCCATCACCCAGGCCGACACCGCGGCTCACTAAGCTAATCCTCCGCCTGCGGCACCGGCGCATCCGGGTTCTAGTCCCGGATGGGGCGCCAGATTCTGTCCCAGTTGCTCCTCTTCCAGTCCAGCTCTCTGCTGTGGCCCGGGAGGGCAGTGGAGGATGGCCCAGGTCCTTGGGCCCTGCAGCTGCATGGGAGACCAGGAGAAAGCACCTGGCTTTGGATTGGTGCAGCGCGCCAGCCGTAGCGGCCATTTGGGGGGGGTGAACCAACGGAAAAGGAAGACCTTTCTCTCTGTCTCTCTCTCTCACTGTCTAACTCTGCCTGTCAAAAAGAAAGAAAGAAAGAAAGAAAGAAAGAAAGAAAGAAAGAAAGAAAGAAATCCATCACCCAAACTGGCTACATTTACTCTCCAAATAGGTCTCAATTTTTTCATTTCTGGAGTTCAAATTTGTACCCTCCTGTAACTGTAGCGAATTCCACTGGTAGTCACGATCTTCAGGATCGATGTGTTGACAACTCTCCTCTAAAAGCTCACCTCCATCTTGCTGGCCAAAGAGATCAATTAAAATGCAAATATGGTCTGTCCTCCTCCACCGTGCCCCAACAACACTGCACTGCCCTATTTCTCACATATACCATGAGCTGCTGCTCATGACCTTGTAAAGACGGCAAATGCCCTCCCCATTCTTCCTTTCCACCATTACCCATCATTCAGTCTCAGTTTGGGCTCATCTGCTCTAGAGAACTTGAGCATCAGGAATGCAAGGGCACGATGTCTACCACTAGCTCAGTTCCTCTCCTACACCTTTTGGCTATGAATTTACCAAACACATCTTAGTCATGTAGGTAGTTCTAGAATGTATCACAAAGCCTGGCATTTAATACAGCACAATGAATTGTTAACAACAGCAATGAAAGAGACATTGGTGCTCAAGGACAACTTGTTTTGCTAATTATCCATTTAGGATTGATTACTCTTTATGTTCATGAACTCCAAATATGCTGGATATTCATTAAATAGCTTTCAATTGAGCCAGTTTTAAAATGATAAATCTGAGGTTGCTAATTAGCAAAACACATTACCCTACCTGGATAATCATATGCTTGACCTAAATTAGTAGTCATATTTTTGATGAGGTACCATAGAATGTTCTTATTCAGCTTGCCTCAAAAAATAACGAGCAGCATTTGGACTTGTTTGCAATATTCAAAAAAACATTGAATATATTATAGAAACCTGCATGAATTTGCTTATAAAACCAGCTCCCCCAGATTTTGCTCAGATTATATTCAGGTTTTGCAAGATTCTGTTTTGATTCAATTTTATGAAGTAATCAATTCCAGGCACAGTTTTCTGTTGAATAAGTAAGAGTCTCTATTAGGCAACATTACACTTTCATTTTCTGAGAAAAGGAAGAGGCAGTTAAAAATATCATATTTAAAGGCAGAGAGCTCTGATTTATCATAGTTCTGCTCCTTGGTCATAGTCTAATTTTACTGTCATTTAATCTTCCCAGCCTTCAATTTCCTGTTCTTTGAAGTGGGTACTTCCCGCAGTTGCTAGAGAATGGAGTAAGGTCACATGGTAACTGCAGAGAATAGGGAGGCACCTTATTATAGGTAAGTGCTAAATGATGGTGTCTATTTCTTATTATCACCGCACAAACGAGCTGCATACACTTGTGGGCGACACAAGGTTAATGTATGTCAATACCTGTCAGACCGTCCTCCCTCCAAGCTGTACCGCAGGTAGTTCATGCCGTCCAGAAACTGACTGCTGGGCAACGAATCATCACCCAGCTCTTTCAAATCCTCAGGCCTAAGGTACTCTCCTCCATCACCTGTCATTGTGTCATCACCTTGAAGCAATCAGAGGAGAAGTGATTATGATTGTGAAATGCATCAGCAAAATGGCCATGATATCAACAAAAGACTGCAAACTGGAACACTCCACACGTGCAGACAACGATAAAATGCTTACTTAGAGACACTATTTCACTCACTTTCATATTACTTAATGATAAAAAAAAAACTGCCTGAGTTGTAATTCTTCTAATATCTACCAGTTTTCTTTATTCAGTGGTTCTTTATAATAATGGGTGTTTTATAGCTGATATTATCTAACTCAACAATTAGTCCAACATGTAGACTACTTTGCCTGTTTGTAGTTTTAGTAATTTTCTACAAGATGTTCAGCACTAATAGTCTCTTCATGTAATCAGAAGTATGCTAAACATGTCTACTTCTCTGGAAGATGAATTAAATATTTTAAGTGGAATAAAAATAATGTTTAATATTAACAAGTATGCATATTAGGAAAAAATAACTGGAGAATGAAGTGCATAGATTGTGAATCCTGTGATGTAATTTAAAAAACACTGTAGAGCATAAGTAGGATGTTTTGTCTGAAACTAGATGACTTCCCAAAGGTGAAAGTCGAGAGGGGAAAAAAAGAGAATTTAGTGATTAAGCTGGGGAAGAAAGAGATGACTAAGTGTTATAGCTCACATTTGAGAGTCCAGAAGGCCAGGGTACATCCCCTGCCTGTGAATGAGAATACATCATTTTCAGAATTGAGGTGTCAAGTAGTTCAATAAATGAAAGATACTTCATTCATAAAAACACCCTATACACCATTAATATAACAGAGGAATAATGTTGTTGACCGAAATTGTTTCTGATGACCCTTTAGGGCCACTCATCAGACACAGTGAAACTGACAACTTTGTATGTAAGGGGAAACTTAAGTTAAATATTAATTATTTTAAGTTTATTAAAAACTAATATTCTAGGGGCCAGTGCTGTGGCACTGCCCCTTGCAGTATAGGCAATCCCATATGGGTATCGGTTCAAGTCCTGGCTGCACCTGCATGGGGGACCTGGAGGAAGCTCCTGGCACCTGGCTTCAGATTGACACAGCTCTGGCTGTTGCAGCCATCTGGGGAGTGAACCAGCAGATGGAAGACCGACCTCTCTCTCTCTTTCTGCCTCTGCCTCTGTTTCTCTGTAACTCTACCTTTCAAATAAACAAATAAATCTTTTAAAAAAAAGTTGAGTCTTAAGAAATAGATGTACCTGGTACAATTTCTTGTTAGCTAATCTTCCTGAGTCCCAGTCTGCACAACTAATAAATGGAGATATTTATGACCTGCTTCACATTACAATTACATGAATGGAATGAAATAACATATAAGAACATGTAATCATGTGTTAGAACTTAGTAAAATTGCTAGTTATTTTCTATTAACACAAAGTAAAGGGTTAACATCCTATAAAATATGAAGTTAAATTTTACTTATCAGGGGTGGAAATTTGGCTGAGTAGATAAAATGCCATTTGATAGCCCCGTATCCCATATCAGAGTGCCTGGGTTTGATATCTGGCACCACTCCTGACTTACAGCTTCTTGCTATTGCAGGCCCTAGGGGTCAATGGTGATGGCTCTAGTGATTGTATTCCTATACCCACATGGAAGACCTAGACTGAGTTTCTGGCTTTTGACTTTGGTCTGTCCTAATCTCAGCTATTGTAGGCATTTGGGGAGTGTACCAGTAGATGTGAGCTCTATCTGCTTTTAAAATAAATAATATTTCAAATATTAAATGTCATGTATCAAAATATTTTTGAGTAAATCTATATGGAGGCTTCAAGTTTCTAGAAGGAGGAAAAAGGTACATTTTCCATGAATTTTTGAGACCTCTCTGCATTATACAGCAAGAAATATAATTACACTAAGTGTAAACATTTCATAAATCTAACAGTTCTATTGAAAATATGGGTAATTTAAATATATATGTATCTGTTTATTTATTTAGTTTTTATTTGAAAGAGAGAATATGTGGGTGGAGAGACAGAGATAGAGAGAGAGAATGAGCAAGAGATATTACATCTACCAGTCAATTCTCCAAATGCCCCCAAAAGCCCGGGCTGGAACCAGGAGTCTGGAACTCCATCCAGATCTCCCACTTGGATGACAGGAAGGCAAGTACTTGGTCCATAATGTGCTGCTTCTAGGCATATCACATTAATAAGAAGCTGGATGAGAAGTATGGAGTAGCTGAGACTAAAACCAGGCATTTTGATATGTGATGGGGGCATCATAAGTGGTAGCTTAATCCACTGCATCACAACGCAAATCCAATATAGGTAATTAAAAAAATAGGTCTGTTACAATATATTTTCTCCCTCTTCCATTGTGTATATTCTTTTTTTTTTCAACATGTCCCCTCCCAAAGCAAAATGCAACAGTAACAACAATCCAATGATAAATGACAATATAATCAAACACAAAATGGATGTTAGTCATCCAACAGTTCAGAGGAAGGAGAGGTCACTTCAAGATGGAGAAGTGGGTTCAATAGTGTACTCTGCCCAAGATTCCTATCTACTTGGAATCTCAGAATATGATGTTATTTTGAGATGGGGCCTTTGCAGATGTAATTAATGTGAAGACCGAGATGACATCACATGTGATTAGGGTGGGCTCTAAGTCCAATGCAAGTGTCCTAGTAGACAGTGAAGGACACAGTAGAGAAAGCCATGTGAAGGAAGATGGGGGTGAGGTATCTACACACTAAGGCACACCAAGGATTGCTGGCAGCCACTAAAAGCTGGAGGAGGAATAGAAATATCCTTCTTGCAGTTAGCATGGCCCTATCGGTATCTTGTTTTTGGTCTTCTGGTGTCCAAAACTGTGAGAGAACAAATTAAACCACCTCAATTATGGTAATTTGTATTGCAACCCTGGGACGCTCCAGCGAAGCTGGAGAACATGTCACTGATTATAGAAGTGGAGCTGGTTATTTGAGCTTTGACAAGGAAAGATGACGGTATGTCCTCTAGTGTGTAAGTGGCTAGTGTGTAAGGGGTTATGGAGGGCAGTCAAAACAGAAGGAATGAGAGGGTGATATGCCTTACTTGTTCAGAGAATGCTAAGTGGAATAATGTAAATCATAAATGCTCATGTTGATGAGAAATGGCAAAAGTTCAGGAAGAAGGCTGGTGTCTGGACATAAGGCAAAGGCCAGGAAGCTTAGCTGTTGAATCACATCCTTGGAAGATGTGTTTTTACATTTTCACCATTACTTCCCTCCCTTGTCTATATAGTCAGTCTTTACATGGGACTGTTATGAGTCAGTTAAGTTGGGATTCTCCACCCCAACACCAATATTTTATTTCTGGAAGAAAAACAATTCTAAAGTGAAATTTAAGAATAAGTTTACCAAAACATAGGTACAGTCTGATTTGGATATAAGCTGAAATTATTTTAAGAAAACAATATGAAAGTTTCTTTAACATGTGGAAGACAACGTTTATTCTTATTCATGAAAAAGTGAAGGGAATGGTTGAATGCAGGATCTGTCACATGATGGAAGTATAATACAAGCTGTGTGTTACAGATGCCTTGAACAAGAGACCAAAAGGATTAAACATCAAAAGAATGCTTGAATACTCTTGTTCACCCTTCTTTGTCTTTCTCTCACTCTATGCCCACAGCCACCCACCCACTCACAAGAATCCAGTATAGCTGAGCTTTGCTGGCTGGCACCAAATTCCTACTACTACCCATATAAGAGCATCTGTCTCCCTGTCAATTTGCTTCTACATTTCTTCATCTAGCTTCTCCTAATTTTCCAGTTTTCACTGCTGTCTGTCATCTGTCAATATGGTCACAGGGAACACATGCAGCTCAAAGTGATTCTTTGCATGAAACACAGCACTCAAATGTATTTTTAGATAGAAATTAGTCAGTGTGAATGTCTTTCTGGGAAAACAATGTTATCTGGTTTTTGGCTTTTCCTAGAAATGGAAAACTTTTCTTATCAAAAGAGATATTCTCTTGTTTTTTGAATGAAAAAATGTTCATTAACACTTAGTAATTGTACTTAGTTATGAGGAATGGTGTGAAATTCAATACACGTGTACAACGTCTAACGATCAGACCAAGTGCATCTATCACCTCAGAAGTTTATTGCTTCTTTGTGCTGGGAACATTCAAAATTCTCTCTGTTAGCTATTTTAAATTCAATAAATGCTGTCAATGATGGCTTATCATACTTTGTTACAGAACATTACACATTATTCCCCCTACCTAATTGTAGCCCTGTACCCACTAAACATTTGCTGCCTATTCTAAATCCCCCAGACCCATCCCAGCCTCTGGTAACTACTATTCTATTCTCTGCTTTTATGAGGCCTACTTTCTAACCTACAATTATAAATGAGAATACACAGTATTTTTTTTTTTCTGTACCTGACTCAATTCACTTAACTGATGTCATCCAGTTCCATCCATGTTATCACAAATGACAAAATTTCAATTTTATGGCTCTATAATATTCCATCCACAAGATATTCTTAATCATTAGCCAATATCTCTCTTAAAGCAAAACTTTTTTGTTATTAATTCTAACATATAATAGTTTTAATAAAAATATTAGAATATCACAGCTAGAACTCATCTGATACAATAGACAGGTCTAAGAGCTGTTTCATATAATTGAATTTTTATACATCAGTAATAAATACTTTACATACATTAACCAATGGAATTCTTTAACAATTATTTTGTGAATAAAGAGTTACATTTTAAGACAGCAATTTTTAAATTAAATAATTACTATATAAATTATTTGATTTATAAATTTAGATTTTCATGTAAGAAGTTTATTTAAAGTGGTATCACATGTACTTTGGAACATTTGTGTTGGAAGGTGTTATTTTATTCGTTTTTTCCATCAAAATGCCAAATTCACCCAAAAAATATTTAAAGATTGGGGCTGTGCTGTGGCACAGTAGGTTAATCCTCTGCCTGCGGCACCAGCATCCCATATGGGCGCCACTTCGAGTCCCGGCTGCCCCTCTTCCAATCCAGCTCTCTGCTATGGCCTGGGAAAGCAGTAGAAGATGGCCCAAGTGCTTGGGCCCTTGCACCCACATGGGAGACCAGGAAGAAGCACCTGGCTCCTGGCTTCGGATCGGTGTAGCTACGGCCATTGCAGCCATTTGAGGAGTGAACCAACGGATGGAAGACCTTTCTCTCTGTCTCTCCCTCTCACTGTCTGTAATTCTACCTCTCAAATAAATAAATAAAATCTTTAAAAAAATTTAAAGATTACTTTATTTCTGTTTTTACTTTCTTTTAAAATCACAATATTAGTTTATTGTACTTTTACCACATCTTCAACCAAGGATGATATGAACTGCATTCATTTCATGCAGTTTTCATTGATAGCTTAGTTAATAACTAATAACAGAATTATTAACATGCTTATGCTAGTTCAGTGTCAAGCAAAAAATTAGTTTTCTTCTAAGTTTCTATTCAAAGAAAAAGCATTAGTTATTGAAAAATGTTTATAAAATGTTCATCACATAAAGCAATTATGTTAAGTCTCAGTTGCAAAATCATTAAAGTATAAGAAACTCATGACTTTAAACATCCAAGTTAGTAGAAATCCACACACAAAGTGTACACATGCACTAGTCCACCCATATTACATGTTATTTTTAATGTAACACAGCAGTATTCACCACACAGATTTAAATATGAAACAATGGCATCTATCCAGTTAAGAAAATTAATATAAAGCTTTCACTCGAATACTTTCTTCTAATGGTACCTGAATCACTAAGTGCTTCCCCATCAATAAAGTGGTCACCAAACTGTTTTAAAGCTGTTCAACATATAAGTGAAGACAAGAAAGATGATCCCAAAAACAAAATATGGTAAATATATGAATGAAAAAGAAAATTAGTTAGCAAGTATTAAGATGGAATACAAAATTATAATAAATATTTGGAACTGTTGGCTTTGGCAATACCTTTTAAGTTACTCATAATATTAATCCAACAAATATTTGTTCATTCTTGCCATAAATTCATGTATGAGCTGGGACAATTCAATGCTATTACCAACAGGTGATTTCATATATTGGTTCCAAGTAAGGACATCTCAATAGAAGTTTTATCTTATTTTTATCTTTAAAAACAAAAGAAATACCTATAATATGTTTCCACAAAAACAATTAGTATTGGGTCTAGTACCATCCTTTAGGGTAATAATTTTTCAAACATGTACATTTTCAATGTGTATATATATATATGGCAATAATTTTTCAGTCATGTACATTTGATCAATAGATGCACTACTGAAACTTTATTGAATATCTTATAGGCTGCTTTCATGGTTATTTTTCAGAAGATTCTTAGCAGCAGTGGAATATTGCATAGAAATTCAAAAAAAAAAAAAAAAAAAAACTACTTGGGACAGAGCCAGAAGCCCTGCTGTCTACATCTCCAGCTCTACCACAGTGCAACCACCTCGACCCCAGGCAGTCACAAGTTTCTCCTTTTGGAAAAACAAGCTTCTTGGGACTTTGAAATCTTGCCTTAGAAAAGTTTCATCAACTCTAAAACTCCAGGGAGCATATTTTCTGACTTCAGTAATTACATTCTTATGTTGAATTTATACTACTTGCTGCTGGCTATTTTTCAACCTTTTTTCTTTCTCTAGAATTAAAATGCATTTTGTATATTTGAACCATTTAGAAAGCAGAAATTTCTTAATATACCATTGATGGTATATACTTTAAGGTCTTTAGCCCAAAGCATATAAATAAAATATATTGTAACATAATTAAAACACATATTAATAATTTCACTATTGAGTAGCTATTTTAACACATAATCAATTTCCAGTTTCCACATCTTTCTAGCAATGTCATTTAATAGATATTAAAGATAGCAAGAAAATAGGCTAATCAGATTTCCTCCACCACCATGTGATAAAAGTAAAGATACTGAAATGAAAGTGAAGAAGTGGCTGTACTGTTAAGATGCTTCCTCCACAGTGCCAGTCGGCCCTTGAGAAACAGGTTGGCTAGCACTTACGTAAGAACGTGACAGACATCACAATAGTAAATGGAAGTCTTACCCTCTTCATCAGAAACATCAAGAACCTCAGTCATTGTCTCAGGAACATTTAGCTTGTGTTTTTCCGTGATAGTCTGGAAAGACAAAAATCATTCATGCTCACATGAAAAACAAGACCAAATGAAAGACAAAAGAATCACAGAGGTGGTCATCTCAAAAGAACCAGCAAGCTGTGAGGCCTGGAACATCCCATCTGTTCCAAACGTATATGTTGGAAGCTTATTCTCTTTCTTGGAAGAGAAATGGTGATTTACTCCAGTGAAGTGATGCCAGAGAAGGTTCATTCTTTTGCATTCCCATCTGAAAACTAAATTTTTTAGCAACAGCATTAATAATTAGTCATATTGAGAAAGCAGATTGATGTTTTCAGGGCTTTTGTAAAATGAACTTGGTGATGTTTCCAGAAAAAGCTTTAAAATGCAGCAATGACGTAAGCAATTTATTAAAAGTGAAGCTATTGCAAAAGAATCTAGAAACAATGTGAATCACATAAGTTATCTGGGCAGAGAATGTGACGAGTCTCTTCTGGGGTTAGTGGATCAACAGTAGAGAAATCATTCACTCACAGAGCTTCAGCAGCAGCCATTCTGATTTGTTGCTTATCTGCCTTCCATGACAGCACCCCAGATTTGTCAGATCACTGCCTTCCATCCCTTACCCATGACATAAGGTTAAAAGACCAAGGTCTAGAGTCTGATTGCATGGGTGCAAATTCTAACTTCATCACTTATTAGATATGAGGACTTAGCAAGTCTCCTATCAATTTTCTTATCTATAAAACATGGATAAGAACAGAAATACATAAAATCGTTTTGAAGATTAAAAAATAATATATGTGAGAGCTCTAAAAACAGTGCTTAGTGTAAGTAAATACTCAACAAATAATAGTTAACTTAATTTTTATTATTATTAAAATTCAAAGTTAAAACTGAAAGACCAGGGCCAGCACTGTGAAACAGCAGGTTAAGCTGCTGCCTGCAATGCTACCAATCCCATATGAGCACCAGTTGGAATCCCAGCTGTTCCCCTTCTGATTCAGCTCCCTGCTAATGCACCTGGGTAAACAGAGAAAGATGGCCCAAGTGCTTGTTTCCCTGCCACCCACGTGGGAAATCCAGAGGAAGCTCTTGGCTCCTGGCTATGGCCTGACCCAGCCCCAGTCATTGTGGCCATTTGGGAAGTGAACCAGTGGATAGAAGGTATCTCTCTTTCCCTTTGTCTTTCTCTCTCTCTCTCTTTCTGTAACTATCTTTCAAATAAATAAATATTAAAAAAAAAACCTGAAAGTCCTCTGAACTTTTGAGTCAGTTGTGTCCTCAAGAAACATTTTGAGTACTAGGCAGTGTTTTAGAGATCAGGAACATGACAGTGATTTTAAAAAGAGGGAGCAATAAGCCCATATATGATCTCACTTACATGTAGAAAGTGAAAAGGTTGAACTCATGGAATCAGTAAGCAGAATGATGGTTACAGGGGTTGAATGAATTGGGTGGGATTAGAAGATGTTGGTCAACACATCAGAATGTTTCATATATGTGATAATTGCTCTGAGCAATAAGAGTTTTCACTGCAAAAAAAAGGTTGAGCATGAAATATAGATATGTTAATTAGCTTTATTTCGTCACTCCACGTGTGTGTGTGTATATATATATGTATATATATATATGAAATCAAAACTTCATGTTACATACCATGAATGTACTCTCCATTTGAAAATCACTACTGGTCTGAATTTCTATTTTCTGAAGCTGATAACTTTCTTTGTACTCAGAGGAATGGGAAAAAGCACTTTGCTTTAGTTTGATCATTGAACGCTACTGGAGAAATTATAAGCAAATATATGTGGCGACATAAAAAGTAAAACCCAGTGATCATATCGGTAATTGATATTTTTCTGTATAGATATGTGAAGTGTCCACTATGTAAAATATAGCATATACTTGTACATGATGTGGTGCTTGACCTTCAGAAGGCCATCAATATCTACCTTTTGAATGAATGACAAACAAGTCTTTTGCCCTAGGAATAATATAATAAAAATGACATATTTTCTTTTTAAAAAAGTATTCTTTGAAAATTTCATTATCGAAATATGTTTTTATGCAAGCCTATCTGAATAGTACACAGAATACTGGACTTTAATTAAGTGATCATGGGCATCTCCTTCTGCCATAGGATTCCAATATGCTATGGTCAAGATTAGAAACCACTGTAAAGGTTAAAATGAATAGTACAATTTGCACAAGTTTAATTATATATAATTAAATAAGATAATAAGGCAAAACAAGTAGGATGTGATAAGTGGATGGAAAGAAGACTCAATAATGAGTTTTTATTCTTCATAATGAAATGGAGAAAAGTAGACTATATAACATGTCTTTAACATACTGTTTTTTAAAAAAATATTTATCCATTTATTTGAAAGCCAGAGTTACACACAGAGAGAAGTAGAGGCAGAGAGAGAGAGGGAGAGGTCTTAAACCTGCTGGTTCACTCCCCAATTGGCTTCAACAGCCAGCGCCGCGCCAATCTGAAGCCAGGAGCCAGGAGTTTCCTCTGGGTCTTCCCATGTGGGTGCAGGGGCCCAAGGACTTGGGCCATCTTATACTGCTTTCCCAGGCCATAGAAGAGAGCTGGATTGGAAGTGGAGCAGCCGGTTTTTAAACCAGCGCCCATAAGTGATGCCAGTACTGTAGGCAGTGGCTTTTACCCGCTACGCCACAGCGCCAGCCCCAACATACTGTTTTATAAATGGTGAATAATATCTAGTTTATTTTCTAAAAGAGAAAAAGTATGCTTAACTTATCTCCACTTGGCCAATCCCCTTGATCAATCATTTCCTTTATACTACATGTTCACCAAGCTACCACTGCACAGTGAGTGAGTGATCTTGGCCATGACACCTCATTCTCATGCCTTCACCTGTCAGCTCCATCCATGGAGTTATAAACTACACTTGTTTACAAATCTATTTATCTCAATAATACATGTAACATAACTTATGTAATTAAATATTCTGTTCTATAAAAACTAAGGTAACAGCTTTGGAAACTCAACAAAGCTGAGCCACCAAAAATAATTGCTAGTCAATTAGGGGTGATCGAGACAATTAGAATATACTGGAAAATATATGACAAAAGTTTAAAAAATTTTTGCATTCAGGATAATGTCTCTAAGGAAATGTGCAGGATATATAAATATCATATATATTCAGTTATCATAGAATTTATATATACATATGCACAAGATAGCACATATTCTTGATGTTACTTGTGCATGAAGAACAATTTAGCCCTCTAATCAATGGATCTATATTCACAGGAAAAATTTTAGCCCCATGTCTATAGGCATCAAATAACTATATGTGTTTATTGCACTGCTATTTGTATGATTCCCACTTAATTTGACTTACAGGATCAGATATAATTTAGGATTCAGAACATTTACATGAACTTCACTGCTTGTTAAAAAAATCCCCCCATGTTTAAATGATAAATATATAATATCATTTATATCATACATATATCATTGCTATATTAGTAACTTACGTTGTACATATAATATAAAACACAATTACTTAAAATCATATAAATAACAAAAATAATTGACGATGGCTGATCAGTAATAAAGAGAGATGAGTCATAGCTCATAGTTCACCCAGGCTTCTGTTGCCAGAAATGTGTCCCTCCCACTCCGATGTCTGTTCCGGCAAACATTTAGAGATTGTATCCCCAGGAGAAGGCTCAGCTGTCTCATAACCCCTGCTGTGCCTTACAAAGTCAAGTTATAGAAGCAAAGGTTAAGGAAACAAACCACGATTTCAAACTGCCTCAGAAATTTCTGCAGCAATGACTTTTCCTTGACACACTGCCGCCATACTCTGCTCCCTACACAATAGCTTTATTCACACTTTGGGGTAAAGAATTGTGTAAAGAGGAAAAGTGAAAGAAACTTTCTTGGATCAAAGAGAACTCACATGGCTGCTCAAATGGTACATCATAGAATCCAAGGGCTGTAAGATTGTGTTGCTATAATTCAACTACCACATTTCAATGACAGTAAAACTATATTTAATTTTATTAATTTCACATAATTGTTGAATTTTCTCTTGTGCTTTTTGCTATCATCAGTTAATAGCTCTGAGTTACTTTTAGTAAATCTGTAGACTTTAGAGAATGATATTGAATATGATCATTAAACAACACTAGTTAAGCTGGGTTTTGTTGTTATTGTTGAATATTAGATAAAAGGAGTTCTTTTACAAAATTCCTGGTAGGCTACCGTCAGTTATGCCAAGTGGTTGGGAACAAGGGTTTTGGAATTGGACAACCTAAAGGTTACTTCTAGTTCTGTCCTCCATCCCTGGCACATTTTGAATCCTAAATGTTGATTCTTGTTTTAAACATCATTAATAACACACTATGTGGAAATGAAATTATATGGAAAAAATGATTAAAAACCTCTTCACAAAGAAATAAAGTGTAAAGTAAGAAGATTCCCATACTGCACAAAAATAAATTCTCAAATCCTTATCCCCAAATTCCATTAAACAATTCAACTCACAATGATGACTAACAGAAGCCAATTCAGAAGCAGACAGTAAAGGCACCACAGCATGAAAACCCACAACTAAAACTACCTCTTTAGATAAATGACTTATCCTAGTTGAAATCAGAAATGTTATTTCACCTAGAACCTTAAGTTGTAACTTCGGTGAGTTCTTTGGAACAATGCTCACCTAAAGAGTGTAAAGAATAATAGTTACCTGAAAACAAAAACAAACAACTGGCAGTAGTTCCATCTGACCCTAGAGAAAAGCGGGTGGAGAGATGACCTCTCCATATGTATCCTACATGTGCAGAGTTTTGCCCAGGTGTCCAAGAACTTGTTTAAAGACAGTAATTAGAGTAAAGGAAAATTAGAGAAAGCTAACTGTCCCTCTTTCAAAATACAGTTCTTTGAAGTCATTTGTTCTAAGTAGTATTTACATAATGGAGATCCTTTGAACTTGAACATGTGAGTTCCATAGTGTTGCTGATGTTAAGTGCATAATTTATTTCTTACAGAGCGTACATCTCAAAGTTCATCCTCCTGACAATGTAAGCTGCTCGTGAGCAGGAACAATATTTAACCCCTGGTGAGTCTTGAGCTCACAACATGGAACCCAGCACATATTTTACGTCTGATAACTGATGAAGAAATGAATTAACAAAATGAATGGAAGCAGGTCCAAGATAACAAAGGATACAAGTTTGCCATCTAGTGGTAACCTGGTAAAAATGCACATACACACATGATGCCCAAAACGGGGAAATTAATGAAGTTGACAGAAAATATGACTTCTAAGACCAGCTGTCCTTGGCTAATCTTGTCAGTGAAGTCTTCATTTATTCATAATACACACATTATTTTAAAGATGCCAAATAAAATCACAAATATGTACAGGTCTAAAGATTTTGTTATATGAAATCCAACAGTAAGAAATAGCCATTAATATTCAGCCACATATAGTGGCCCCAATGCTAGGCAATGACAAGACCTATTTTTTCTCCTACATAATTTATTAAAGCTATACTTTAAATCTCTAAAAATATTGTGGTGTTCTGACTAAAGATCTTAAGATTCTGCTTGAACAAAACAAGCAGTGTCATTCTCTCCCATCTAAATTCACTCTGTATCTGGCAACTCATTAATAAATCATAACCACTCTGCTTAAAACTGTATGTTAAATCAACTGTAGTCCATCTACTTCAGTGCATGTCAACAGGGACTTTTTGTCAGCCCGAGGAACAAAATTCCTTTCTTTTTCCTCACATCAATCAAAACAACCAAATGTTCCCAAAACTCAATCCCAATCATTTCTTGCTTGGGGCCTTTATCAGACCCTCATTCAGAATTCTTTTTTGGTTGATTTACAGTCTTATCCTCTCTGAAGCACATCTAATGTTTCACTGTTGTGTTACTTTTCTACTTTACAAAGATAAATTAAAGAACTGTTGTTCTTAGCAGAATTTGTGCTTGTGGTAAAAACTTAGTAAGAAACTAAATGCAAATATAATAGGATTTCCACTTTCAGCCAGATCCCGGAACCCCACCCCCACCCTTAGGAGGCTGCCTTTGAGTTTTGCTTCAGCTGAATGGCCCAGGGCACTGGGACTCCTTATTATCATGGCCTTTCCCAGCGACTCCCTGGCAAAGGCCCAGGATGAGTACTGTTCTCTCCAAAAGAATCAGTAATTGTATTCAAAACAGGGATCACAAAGAAACCTTACATGATGCAGTCCTGGTTTACCTACTAAGCACATGCAATTCTCTTCTTGAATAAAAAATAATAATTGGCAACCAGAAGCAAAGTAGGAAGGAATTGTTCTTACTGGGAGTACCCTTGACCCTGTCAGGAACACAGAGCAGGGTCTGTCGAGAGCTGGCCTGACATGGATAAGGGAAGAAGTTTGCTGTGGGTGTGCTACCGCCATGCCAGCAGTAGGTGTCACACACAACTAAAAGAAAAGGGCAGAGGAGCCAGAAGAAAAAAAGTCAGTCAGTTACAGAAAAAAGAACTAAATAGCATAGCACTGCATTCACACATTTTATATGCATTTCTGTTGAGTAAGAGAAACTGAAGTTTCCGCATTTTTATGTAAAAGCACTGACATCTGCATATTTTTCTAAGTGTTCTACAGTACAGTCAACAAAAGAAGTTCTGGAGGGAGAATTCCAAGCACTTGGTGAGTGAAAAAGCATGTGGCTGGAAACCTAGACTCCAGAGCCGAATCGCAGAGCGCCTCATACTCACCGTGGTGGTGGTGGTGACTTCCTCCGTCACAACCTTCAGGGTGTCGACCACGGAGATGTAGCCCAGACGCTTAGCAATGGCCAAGGCAGTGTTACCATTCTGAAGAGAGGGAAAGGGAGAAAGAGAGTGAGAAACAGAGGGAGGACTGCAATGGGAGCCAATGAGATCACCCGTGGCTCTGCATGAGCCAGCATTTCCTTCCAAAACAAGGCACAGCTTAGGAAAATCACTAGTTTTTACCATTACATCTAAATCCGGCTTTGTAACTTCTTTAGACTATAGCCCAGGTCACCATGGTAACACAACAAGCTTGCATCTGCCTGCTCTTTTTAATAAGAAGCACTTGAGCTTTAACCCTAAGGGTGTCAAATATCTTCTACAAATACTGTACTGGGCTTAGCGAAGTACCTCTTGACCTGAGGATGATACCTCCAGAAACTCTTAGTGAGTTCCAGGTACACTTACTCCTCCTCGGAGGTTAGGCCATCTGCAGCTGCGAGATGGAGATGTTCCCACCGGGAACACAGTAACTTACATATTTAGCTACAGCTGTGCAGAAGCTCAATGCAGTGAAATAACACAAGCAAGCAATTCAGGCTGCATTCAGTCCAGCCTGCTTGGGAGCCTGGTTTGTTTAATTGCACCGCTTAGTTTACATTTCAATGGCTCCACATCCCAAGGAGCTGTGTCTAAGCCAGCAGCCTGGAAACTGTGCTCCCTTAAGGAGACAGGGAGGGAGGGGTCGATTTGTGCTCACATCTGAGCGCCAGCTGTAAGCAGAGGATGTTCCAACAGCCCAGGCAAGGGCCCCACTCTCCGGAGAGAGCCTACGGACTCAGGCCAATCGCTTTTCCTCCTGGGAAAAGCGCTCCCGAGAAGTCACAATGACTTCTGCAAAAGGCTTTCAAGAAATCTGGGGCTTTCCACAGTCCCGGGTATATTTAAGGAGGATGCGTGGAAACTCAGCTAAGCTGAGACACTACCAGGAGGGCAGCAGAGGGAGAAGGGGGCGTGGGGAGGGGCTGCTGCGCTGTCTTACCGCAGTGGTGGCGTTGGGCTTGGCCCCGTGCTGGAGCAGGACGTTGATGATGTGCGTATGACCCTGCTGGGCAGCCTGGTGCAAAGGCGTGTAGCCATTCTGTGGATGATGGTGGCATGGGACCAGAGCCGATTTGCAAAGGGAAAGGAAAAGTAGGTTAGCCTTCATTGTGGATTTCTTAGTCTTACTGACGCTTTGTTTATTGGGAGCCTGATATTCCCAGCAACCCATTTCTCAGCAGCAAACACTCCCTCACACCTTATGGTCTGCCAAACAAAGAGGAGAGAGAGGCTACAGAACAACAGGACGTGCAAACTCCAGATTCTATTGCTGTATTGTAACCAATTAGTGCTAAAAATGGGTTTGCTGAGAGAACACTTTAAAATGGAAAAGGGCATTATCACTGTGATTTCTTCCCTAGGAAGGGTAAGCTGCAGAGGATCACACAAACCATCTTGGGGTTAAATGTGGGGATTCTAAATCATTAAAAGTAAATCATTAAAAGTAAATCTAGGGGCCGGAGCTGTGGCTCAGTGGGTTAATCCTCCGCCTGCAGTGCCAGCATCCCATATGGGCGTTGGTTCTAGTCCTGGCTGCTCCTCTTCCAATCCAGGTCTCTGTCTTGGCCTGGGAAAGCAGTAGAAGATGGCCCAAGTCCTTGAACCCCTGCAACCACATAGGAGATGTGGAAGAAGCACCTGGCTTCAGATCAGCACAGCTCTGGCCGTTGCAGCCATTTGGGGAGTGAACCAGTGGATGGAAGACCTTTCTCTCTGTCTCTCCCTCTCACTGTCTGTAACTCTACCTCTCAAATAAATAAATAAAATCTTTAAAAAAGAAACAGGTAAATCTAAGTCTTAAGCTCCTTTGGTCAAAGAAGATTACACACATGGGCACTTAAAAAACTTTTAGAAGAAGTCATTGGAAACAGAGTGGCCCTCTTTCAACAAATCTCTTTAAATTGAGGGTTTTGACATTCTGGTTTAAACTTTCATAAATTGGGTGTGGTACAGGTTGGTCACAAAATCACATTAATTTTTCAAGTTGCATCAGAATCCTTGGAGATACAAGGCAGTTGTAGCAGTTATTGATCATTCATTTTGTGCCAGATATTGAACATAGCACTTAATGTGTTTCAGTGTTCATTATCACTCTGAAAATGAGGGTGCCTGTTATATGGGAGGTGTTTTGTAATTAATGGTGGACTAAATGAATGACAAACAAATGTCTATTGAGGTCCTTGGCCCATCTCTTAAGTGGGTTGTTTGTTTTGTTGTTGTAGAGTTTCTTGATCTCTTTGTAGATTCTGGTTATTAATCCTTTATCAGTTGCATAATTTGCAAATATTTTCTCCCATTCTGTCTGTTGCCTCTTCACTTTCCTGACTGTTTCTTTTGCAGTACACAAACTTCTCAATTCGATGCAATCCCAATTGTTAATTTTGGCTTTGACTGCATGTGCCTCTTTTATTTTAAGACAAGAGCCTCAGGTGATTACTGAACATCATAAATAAGAGTGTCGATTGTTAAATCTACAACAGAAGTCTTTGTGCACTTGCTCCCCATGTAGGATTTCTATGCTAAATGTGTTGTACTATGAGAATTAATGGTAAAAATAGTCTTCAAACAGTACTCTATGCTTTGTGTGTCTGTGTGGGTGCAAACTGTTGAAATCTTTACTTAGTATATACTAAGTTGATCTTCTGCATATAAAGATAATTAAAAATGAATCTTAATGAAGACTGGGATGGGAGAGGGAGTAGGAAATGGGATGGTTTGCAGGTGGGAGGGTGGTTATGGGGAGGAAACTGCTATAATCCAAAAGTTGTACTTTCAAAATTTATATCTATTAAATAAATGTTTTCTACAAAAACCAAATAGTTGAAATCTTTACTTAGTATAGAGTTAGTCTTATGTGTATAAAGTTAATGGAAAATGAATCTTAATGTAGAATGGGACTGGGAATGGGAGAGGGAGGAGGAATTGGGGAGGGAGGAGGAGTAAGAGGGTGGGTATGTTGGGAAGAATTACTGTACTCCTAAAGATGTACTTATGTAATTTATACTCATTAAATAAAAAATTTCTAAAAAAAGATAATTATCTTTTAAATACAGCAGCCCTAAACCCACTTCACAAGTTAATCGTGATTAATGAAGGCTGGCTTCAAGCCGATGTGACAGGGTTTCATTACAATTTTAAACAATGAATATTCTTATAAAATATTAACTTTTTCAAATATTTTATACTAAGTAATGAATGTTTGGAGAGTAAATGCAATACATATGTTTGTATTCTCAAAGCAATGGAACAGTCTTTAATATCTATGGTTACACATGAGATGTCAAAAAGAAAACATAATTGCTTCTGCAGAGACATCATTCCAAGTGAAAAAAATTCTGAAGAGCTTATTAAAAGCAATTCATACATTTGCATTCTCAAAACAATAAAGCAATCTTTAATATCCATAGGTACACATGAGATGTCAAGGAGGAAACACATATCTGCAGAGATTTCATTTCAAGTGAAAAAAATTTTGATGAGCTTATGAAAAGACTGTCCTTCCCTTCAAGGTATGTATCTTTATACTGTCTTATAGATAAGTGGTTCCAAATGCTTCATAGTTGACTTTAAGAAATAAACCCTAAATCTGAAAATGAGAAATTTCTCTCAGTTAAATGTTCATTTGATGAAGATTAAATTTGGGGAAGGCCATTGATATTGTCTAAACAACATATTGTTTGGCTTCTGAATATTGTAACCATCTAAACAATCCAACACTTAACAAAAAATGTAAGTGTTTTGAATCCTTGACAATATGCCAATGCATCACTGCATTTGTGCATTTCAGGAGAAAGTCCATATTCTAATAAGAATGTCTTCCCCAGAGGGCTTATATGTGAGCTGGCTAAGCAAAAATGGTGTTAAGAGTTGATGTCTGAGAATTCATTCTGGAACTTTTAGATAAGTCTCAAAGCACATTTCCATGAGAACTCAAGAACTGATCAGAAACTAGGTAGCAGCTATTCTTGCTAGAAGAAGATCATTAAAGTTGAATGTCAAAGCTTCACAGTATGAGTATTATTTACAATTTAAAGACCAAGTTTATTATAAATCTGCTCGTACATGTGCTTATGTATAGAAATGGTTTTGTATCTGCTTCTATGAGGAGGACATAAGCAGAAAGACTGACCTAGAAAACTTCTACATATTTTTAATTGCTAGCATCTTAAATAATTAATTTGAAAATGCCTGAATATACTCATGAACTTACTTGAGCCCACTCACAGAACAGCATCAGGGATTTCTGATAATCTCATAAGAACTTGAAAACATCATGTAAATGTTTCTTTAGACAAAAGAACCTGGAGTTCTCAGTTACATTACGTGCAGCAGTCGTCGTTACAGAATGTGCTTCACTTCTTTTTGAACTCACTGGAGCACAGTGAAGTGCCCACGCGTTATGTTCTAACCTTGCTTTGTGGAATAGGACCCTTCAGAAACCACTGGGAGAAACAGCTAAGATCAAGTCAGCTCTGCTTATCCTTGAGAATTTTTTAGCCCAGAACTTACACATCATTTTCTCACTGAGCATGACCGTGTGATGTTCCTGATGTGACAGAGTTCATTAAAAATGAAAGGAATGCAATCCAGGCTGCCTGTCTTACTTCCTTGGGAAGTGGGAAGGGGCCAAGACCCTAAAAGAGTGTAAAGGAGAGCTTCCAGAACATCAAGTTGTTCTAGCAGGCATTTAGTGTATCCTGCAGTACACTGTTAAATCGACATATCCCACTTTCCTTTTAAAATAGACAAAGATATGAAGCTAACCTACATGGCTGGCAAAACTCATTATAACAAAAAGTCTCAAACAATTTTAAAAAAACACATTGCCTCATCAAAGACAATTTAGAATAACTAAAGAGAAAAATAATTTGTAGCCACAGTAAGCCAATTGTGTATCCAGATGGCTGAACCTTTTTTCTTATAGAAAATGAAAATAAGGACAAGTAGTTTACCTTGGTTTTTGCATTAACATTTGCTCCTTGCTTCAGAAGAAAGTTGACCATTTTCACATTTCCATAGTGACAGGCCACAATTAAAGGGGTGTAACCAAGCTGTAAACAAATAAAGTAGAAATTTTACTACTCTAATGGCTAATGCTCTTCAGGGAGCAGGATTACATAGAATTTCAGTGAATATAGAGTGGGTAGAAATTCAATCATATTGTACAGTATTATTGAGTAGGTTATATATGTATCCTGTGAACACAAACATGGATATGAGTAGATTCTAGCCACATGAAGCTTACCACTAGGAAGAGAAAGAGAGAGTGACAGAGAGAGACTCACATATGTCTTAATTAGACAAAGAAATAAAAGAAAGAAATAGTTGGTATGACCTGAAAACAGGGAAGAGAGGCTGACTCTGCCAGGAAGATCAGAAGGATTTGCAGGTGAGATGTAGCAAGCTGAGCTTAAGAAATGGGTAAGGATTTAGAGGCCAACATTGTGGCACAGTTTTAAAGCTGCCACCTACAATGCCAGAATCCCATAGGGGTACTGGTTAACGCCAAGCTGCTCCACTTCCAATCTAACTTCCTGCTAATGGCCTAGGAAAGCAGCAGAAGATGGCCTAATCTTTGGGGCCTCTGCAACCAACATGAGAGACCACAAAGAAGCTTCTGGCTCGTGGTTTCAGTCTGCCTAACCCGGGCTGTTGTAGCCACCTTGGGGGTGAACCATCGGGTGTCGCTCCCTCTCTCTCTATAACTCTGACTTTCAGAAAATTAAATAACTCTTTTTTAAAAATGGGTAAGGATCTAAGAGCATAGAGAGGGAAAAACCATTTGATAACCAAGGGCATGAAAGTGAGCAAGTACAGAGGGAAAACAGCAAGTCATTTGGACCAGCTAAAACCACAATAAAGAGGGGAGGTTAAAGCCTGCAGAAGTGGAGTCTTCCTGTGAAGGATCCTGACACCAGGCTAGCCTTTTGCACTTGACTGTAGCAAAAATGGGAAACCACTTTAGATCTGTGAGCAAAAGCCCATCGTGATTAGTTTAAGCTTGAGAATAGACAGTTGAGGAGGGGTGACTTGGACATGACGTAACCCAAATGGGGACTATGAGGAGTCATGTAAGCTAGAACTTACACAATATTGATAGACTTTGCTTTACCTTTGTGTGAGCATCCTTGTCAGCCCCATGTTTGGTGAGAATTTCAGCAACGTTGACTTTATCTTCCTGGGCTGCAAGGTGTAAGGAGGTGAGTCCACTCTAGAGAAAGAATGGAATGAAAGGGGTACATTTGAGAGGAAAATACATTGTTGTAATCTACAACATCATGTCTTCAAAAAAATCCTGAAAAACATAGCCTATCCTGAGAAACTGTACCTTTTGATATCTAAGAATCTCCAAGTTAACAATACTTATCATTTAGGAATATTCTGTAAGTTAATCAACACGTTCAGCAAATGACATTTTCTATTTTGGCTACTTGTTAGGTGACCTAAAATAACTAATAACTTCCAAATACATTCATCTGAAGCTCAGATACATCTGAGCACTATTAAAGTTTTGCACTGTTTATCCTTTGTCCTAAGGATACCACCAAAGTAAAATCACAAAATAATTGTTTTAAAGATAATATAATTACTTCATGATTCAAAATCGAGTATTTTTCTCCATTGATGAGTGTGCAATTCAAAAATACTCATTAAAAATTTGCTGACTGATAAAACTCTCTCTTGAAAGAATCACTGTACTTAGACGAATATTAAGAGGATATACTGAACTAATTCCAGATGTGGATCTATCATTTTGATAAATTAAAAATCACAATATCAGAAAGACTGTGTGCTCAACTTGATAGTATCTAGAATTTTAATACTATTCAAAAATTTGTTAAATGTTTCTTTTCCATATTTTCAAATGAAGATTCATATTTTTTTTTTTGACAGGCAGAGTGGACAGTGAGAGAGAGAGACAGAGAGAAAGGTCTTCCTTTGCCGTTGGTTCACCCTCCAATGGCCGCCGCGGCCCACGTGCTGCAGCTGGCGCACCGCGCTGATCCGATGGCAGGAGCCAGGTACTTATCCTGGTCTCCCATGGGGTGCAGGGCCCAAGGACTTGGGCCATCCTCCACTGCACTCCCTGGCCACAGCAGAGAGCTGGCCTGGAAGAGGGGCAACCGGGACAGAATCCGGTGCCCCGACCGGGACTAGAACCCGGTGTGCCGGTGCCGCAAGGCGGAGGATTAGCCTAGTGAGCCGCAGCACCGGCCAAGATTCATATTTTAATACTAAACACATATCTCCTTTGCTTATGGATATTACATAAAATATTCTGTTTCAAGGTCCAAATATCCTTGATAATATAAGTGACCCCCTGAATAGCCTGATTTCAATGGCCACAGGATGTCCATACTGCATATTGTATTGACTGGTTGAAACATTACATTTCACAATAAGGGGTTTTCAGGCTTATTCTTATTAAAATGCAAATATCTTTTGGAAGACTAACTCCATAACTAATCAGCTGTCACCATCCTTTAAAAGAGGATCTAGGAAGACCTTTGACAGAGAACAGAGAAGTACTTTAGGGCAAGGAATGCACTGGAACTCTTCTGAGTGCTAAAGAGACTAGGATACCAGGATTCCAGTGGCATTCAAGACAACCTACTCATCTCATAGGTCCTTCTACAGGATGCATGCTACATAATCTACTTACGCACATTATTAAGGCCAATTTACAATTGATGCTCCAAAAGCACCAATGAACTCAACAGTGAGATGTAGAAAAAAATAGTATTTGTATATTTGTGGAAAACCTTAAGAGACTTTTACTTTCACTTAATGCACACCCTATGTCACAAAAAAGCATCAAGAGACACAAATGATGAACTAACTGATAAATATAAGCTCCAATTTTTAATTTCTTAGCATCTGGCTCCAGTGGAGTATATATGAAAATAAGTATAAGATAGATTAATTGGTGGATGTATAGGTAGTTGATATATAGACAGACAAGTACTTTTAAAAATCTAATACTATAAAATTTGAATAATATTTCCTTTCTATCCTTAATTATCTTTCTATTAAAATTAGTATGGTAGTCCAGAGAGGCCTTTTCTGGAGAAAGGTTGAAATGACTGAAGCATTTCATGAAAAACATTGATTTTCTGATCACCACCCAAGTTAAGCTGCAATTAGTTTAAAAAAAATCAGTATTTTCCTGAGTTCCCAGACCCCTACACAGGGTATGGGCTGGAGAATGAGTTGAGTTGTGGACATGAGGCTCCCAGTTTGAATGCAGTTGTTTGGGCCAAATCTTTCTGCCTTTCTTTCTATCATTCTCTCTTCCTTTCTCTGTCTAGTTCTGTCTGGAATTTGGCCTAGAAGATATAAGGGCAATCAGGGCTTATTGCTTGAACTATGCTGATGTTAACTCTCAAAAGCCTAGGGGCAACTCCTTATATCACATGTACAGAGCAGGAAAATCAGATTTACAGAACAAGGTGAATGAAACTGATTTGTAGAGAAAAGTCAATAAGCAAAAATGTAGCCAAATAGGCAGAGTCTGTGAGAGTGGTTCCCTTGCTGCTTTATGGCTTTCTAGTCCCTCAAAGGTTTGACTCTCTTCTTCTCCCTGGGGTCCATAAGGTAATCCCTGTTTCCTTTTATTACATCCCCCTTCTTTGTTCTAAGTTATCTTTGATTTGTTCTCTTTATATTCAACCAAAAGACTCTTGATTGAAGCAAGAGACAAGAACAGGATACCTTTGTTGACATGTGGATATTGGCTCCCTTATCCAGAAGCAAGGTGACCATATCGGTGTGCCCTTCCTGTGAGGCCAAATGCAGCGGAGTGACCCCTTGCTTTGTCACAATGTTAGTTTCTGCTCCATAGTTCAGAAGTGTGGAAGCTATCTGCATTTGATTCTTCTTGGCAGCAATATGTAAAGGAGTATAGCCATTCTAAAAAAAAAATAAAAAATACATATAGTAAGTTTAACAATTGCTTAAATATATTTTCGGAAAAAGATAAGAATCTCTAATCAGCAGGAAAGTTAAAAGGGAGTTTATAATTAATCCAAACTCTTACCTATCACAAGTTTCCACCTAGCAATACCCACATCTTTGCAACCAAAGTTGCACCCATTCTACTGTGAGAAAGATATAGACACAAAATTCCCAAAGCTGAAAATTCCCTCCTTACAATACTGGCTATTTCCTGGAGAGCAATAGAAAATAAGCCAGGATCCTCTTCTATGTGATATTCCTTTAAATATCTGAGGATGATTTTCATATTTTGTTTCAGAATTCTGTTTTCCAGGCTAGCCTTTCTCATTCCTTTAATTACTGCTCATGGAAGTACCATTTCTAGACCTCTCTCCTAAAGGATGATCTGTTTTGAACTGATTCTAGCTGTCAACAGTGTTCCTGAATTGTGCTACCCAGAAATGAATGCCATACTTCCAATGTGATTTTAATAATATAAAATAAAATGGAATTACTTCTGTGATCTTGTTTATAACACTCCTACTAACATGCTCCCAATTGGACTTTACATTTTTACCCATTCAGCAAATATTACTGAGGGCTTTGCATAGACCAAACAGTTTTCTAGGTGTAGAAATATAAATGGTGAACAAGATGTAATCTCTGTCATTAAGGAGTTGCATGCTGGCCTGCGCTGTGGCTCACTAGGCTAATCCTCCGCCTGCAGCAGCGGCACGCCAGGTTCTAGTCCCGGTTGGGGCGCTGGATTCTGTCCTGGTTGCTCCTCTTCCAGTCCAGCTCTCCGCTGTGGCCCGGGAGTGCAGTGGAGGATGGCCCAAGTGCTTGGTCCCTGCACCCGCATGGGAAACCAGGAGGAAGCACTTGGCTCCTGGCTTCAAATCGGCACAGCGCGCTGGCTGCAATGCACCGGCCATAGCAGCCACTTGGGGAGTGAACCAACAGAGAAAGGAAGACCTTTCTCTCTGTCTCTCTCTCTCTCACTGTCTAACTCTGCCTGTCAAAAAAAAAAAAAAAAAAAGAGTTGCATGCTAATGGAAGAGATATTAAACAACAGAATTGGCTTCTGTTAATCCTGTGGTCAGTTTAAATTCTAGAACCCCCCTTTTTGTCCATTTCTGTGGCCTCCAGAGTAGAAACATGAGACTACTAGTTTTATGTGAGAGTTTTATGGAGTAGAACAAGATCATTCAGATTTGTCTTACAAGAGTCAAACTCTAAACCTTACACTTAGTTAAAATGAAAACAAACAATTAAACAAAAAACATTGAACTATTTGTGAGTCTGTAACATATGATTCCTTTTCTTTTCTTCATCGCATCTGATGGAATTTTCCATGATGAATGTATGACAGACGTTAAAAACAGAGGTTTTGTCATGAGCTGTGACATGCTGAAGGGAAAACAGTAAAACGGTCCAGTGCTTCTTCCAAGACAACCACAAGAGGTATTTTTAGGTCATACTATCTCCTTCAATCTAACTGCAAAGTATGTAGTGAACGTAAATGTCTTTATGTGCCATCATCAAATTTTGGTCCACAAAGGGCCCTACATTTTCTACTCTGTCCCCAATTGCTCAAGCAAAAACAAGCATCTTTGATTTTTGACAAATAATATTTCTATTAGAAGCTCTGCTTGGGAACATTTTCAGGGTCTGATCATAGTGCCAGATGTTCCAGCTACTTCAGAATATTGCACCTGGGTCCATGGGCTCTATCAGATAATAAGGCAAGTAGATTTTTGTGGACCTTATAAATTCGGGCATCTCCTTTTTGGTTTTTTGGTCCCACTTACTCCCAATCCTGAAGCATACAGTATCAGGAGGCGTGATGTTTTAATGATACAGCCCAAGACATTATCAAAGAGGGTGTCAATTTTGACAAAGGAAGCAGTCTCATTGCCTGGTAGATACTCAACCTGCAAGATCTGAAGAGCCATCTCTTTTCACAAAGAGTAAAAATTTTTGGAATCAAGTAACTGAAATCTTCCCCATGAAGAACAAGCTTCTGGACTCTGTTAGGAATGAGCAAATAGGTTCAGGAGCCAAGGAGGTGTGAGTGTGTGTGTGTGTGTGTGTGTGAGATGGGGCGAGCAGGAATTGTGAATAGACAGTTCAGAGTGATGGTACTAGTGGGGCTCCCACTAACTGGCAGCCACTTGGAGTAGCCCAGGAGCTGAAGGTCCCCTGCTCTGACAAGCTGAGGCAGAGTGTAGAAAACACCCGAGCAGTCTCCCCAGAAAACCTGCCCTACTGTGGCCCCTGCAGCAGGCTGCATATGCTGCATATTAAGACTATTTGGAGGACTCTCTAAAACATTATTAGTGTTTAAGTTGTACTCTGGATGCATTCAGCTAGCTTCTCTGTGAGTGGGATCTGAGTATTTCTGGTTTTCAGAAGCTTTCTTGGTGATTCCACTGTAATGTCAATGACAAGAAGCCACCATCTGAGGGATATTTTTTTTTGCCACATTTTGAGGAGAAACATAATTGTTTGAGACCTTGGTGAAGGCACAGAGAGTTTATCTTCGTTGTTGAAATACCGATCTCCATCTCCTCTTAAACCAGTGGTTTTGGCACTCTTCCACCCTGCTTTGTGAGTTTGGGTAGGTCCCAGACCAGTAGATCGGGCCTCTCACATGTAGTCTTCTCTTGTGTTGGATGACTCAGAGGAACCGTATACTTGCATTTCCTGAAGGACTGGAGAGTGAGTGAAGACCTGTCCTCCCTCCAGCTTCCCTGCACTGGACTGGCCCAGTGCTCCCCAGTTGAGATTCTTTTGTGGCCAAGAGAAGGCACAGAAGTACTCCTAGTTGTTTGATCTGCGTTTTATGT